GGCAGCAGTTGTTTACGTTTGGAGTTATCACTCCTAGTTTTAACTTACAAAATATGTTGATTTTTTTATTTTGAAATTTACTTTTGCCATAATTACTGTTGCTATTAAGCAACTTGTTTGTCTATATTCAATTTTACATGATTTTACATAATCAGAACCTACATATTTCCTTGGTGTTCGTAGATTGTAATTGACCACTGAATGAACAAATAAAATACTTCGACAAGAAAGGCACACTGATAAATATAAACTAAGTTACTAACTCTTATATTTATTTATTAATCTCATGCACATATTTTATCTCTGGTGTTTATTTTTTTTTTTACTTTTCCGATTATATTATAATTGTTCCGCCTTTTTCATGCATGGCTTTAAGCATGTATTCTTAGAACTTTTATTATCGTTTAATGCTTTTTCTATCAATGCATGTACATTATTTGAAATAGCTTAATCACTTTTAGTGTTGCATTTTGTAAACAATTAAAGAATTTAATACATCATAAATGCATATTAAGTACATGTTTGCTTTAGACAAATGTGGCCTAGTCTATTAAATAATTTAATATTAAATGTATGTATAGTTAATTTTTTGTTAAAAGGTTGTATCATGTTAAGTCTATCTCTTGTATTTTTAATTAAAAGGTTGTATCTTAGAAATGTCTATCTCTGGTTATAAGCTTTTTAAATCTGTGTACTATAATTTCAAAGTTTTAAAAATTTTATCAGTTTTGTCATGTTCTGATCTTTCAACCTGCTATTTTATTTTCATGCTTTAAAGAAAAGTTCCCGTTTCAAAAATGACGGTCCATGGGGCATGTGTAGTATAGTTCATCTATTTTTTTGACTCTTTCATATGAAGGGATAGTGTGGTCAGCACTGTGCCTATCCGCCTTTTTATTCCCATTGAGTTAGGTGCCCATCAGAACTGGATGTCCTCAAGGACTTTCAACCCGGATTCGAACCTAGACTTTCGCTATTTGCAGTCTAGCGCTCTACTGCTACACCGCGTCGTGACACAAAAATAATGTATGTATCCCTGTGTGGGCTTGAACCACCAATCTTTCGGTTAACAGCCGAACGCACTAACAGATTCGTCACAGAGACTACAACTTACATGATAATAAATTGAAATCAAATACATTAAATTTTGAATTGAATTTAGTATTTTAATTATTATTTTATTTAAACTTTGACGTCTTACCCATTCCCTTATGACGAAAACATGTGTTTACGTTTGTCTATTATCTTCTGAGAAATATCACATTTTTTAAAACTAAAGTTATAGTTAACGCTTGTTATGTTATGCTCTAGGAAGATGAAGCAGAAAATGCGTAAATGCACAAATTTCGAAAAGGATAATTGTACCTAAAGGATCCTTGTTAGTAAACAAAAACATATTCGTGATTACATTTATAAAGTTTTAAGTAATACGTCTTGGATGGCTAATGAATATGAACATCAATTTTGTTCTATACTCTATCAGAAATGTTTCAATTATAAAGAACGCAAAGTGCGTCAGTATATCTGGTTCATGTCTTTGTTTAGATTGCAATAATGTGACTAACAGAAAAAGAGTCTTTACACGTGTTGTGCTACATATTGTTTAATTACTTACATTATTTATATATTATGAGTAACATAAAATAGATCGAAGTCGTATAAAACTGACACAAGGAATACATAATTGAGTTGTTATTTTTTTTTAATAAACTTTCATAAATAATATTTTGGAAGTAACATGAGAAACAAAACGCGTTTTTTAGCAAAAAGTAAAGAAATTCATGCTTTCTTTTGTGTTTAGTGGTGGGGGATGGTCTATCTGTATTGTTAGCTGTAAAACAAAATTAAAATATGAAAAGTTGGAAATCTTTTTTTTTAATCTTTTTTTAATTTATTTTATTTTATAAATAGTTAGTAAAAAATGATTGTTTGAAATTCAAATGCGTTCTCAAACATTTTCTAGCGTAGCGCTAAAGGTTGTTTTTTTTTTTGTAAACAAGATTTTAGCTTCCTGTAACCATTCGCAATTTCTTTACAGCTGTGGGATAACACATGCATTATATAGTGTTTAATTACTATACAGCTATCAAATAGATGTACACAGCGTTTCTAATATTTAAAAATCTTAATTTATATCGTGACATCTACAATTCGTCATTTTATTTTATATTAATTATGTAAATTTTTACAGTTGAACCATCACACCATAAACTGTCATCCTCATATAACAACATCAACGGTTGACATTGTAAAAGTCAATCCTGTACTTTAATTGAGAATCGCTTTGACGAAAATCCCTTTCAGAAATCTGGCCCTTTCCTTGGGCAAGGATGTCCGGTAGATTTGAAACATAAATTCAAAGCGTTACCAAATAAACTGAATAAAAATATATAAACAGCTACAGTGTATATAAGTAGAGGAAATCAAAATTACTTTTATGATATACATAACAGATGCCTTTACTGGGTAGTGTAATTTAAGGTAAAACAAAGTACTAAATGCAAACATAATGCACAAATCTGGTTCACTATGATTTACGTGTAACCAATGTTGCTGTTCTTTGTTTACACTATATTACTAAATAGAATGTTTCCAATGCATACTGTTATACCAAACACAATGTTTTTATAATGTGTTAACGCAAATAAAACATATAAGCATAAAGGAAAAACAGCTTAGTGTTGTGTGGTATTGCATCGGTCGAGGGGTAGTTCTGGTATTGATTTTCTTCATCTGTCATCATAAACAAATTACAAGATAAATAATAATTGTTTATCTTCCGTTTCTAATTGATGAACAAGGTTTATATAATTAAAACATACGCTGGAAATTACGATGAAGATGTCTAGACGTCTCGTACTAAATTATACAGTTTAATAATATTAGGTCATGTCGTATTAAATTATGTTGGATAATAAGATTACCTGTAATTTGAATTAATTTCATAATGAAAGTTTATAAAAATAATATGGAGCCATTTCTATATTTTGTAGATTTTAATTGTACACATGTGCTACACAATTATATTAAATGTAAAGCAAGCCTGAAAAAAGTGAAATAAAAACATGTATGGGTTTATTTTTACGTTTACCCGAGCATTATGTGTTTTTTTTTTGTATGTTTCAAATCTTTGTCTAGTTACTTTTTATTGAACACACATATTTATCATAAAGTTATAAATTCTCTAACACAAATTTTAAAACATATTTTCTTACACATATCTCTGTTATAGTTCATAGTTGTTTTTTTTTATATAAGTGTGGTCATTTCTTAATTGCTAGGATATTTTCGTGTGCAATTTGATAAAAATCAGAAGCACAAAAAAACAATATTTTTTTAAATTAGATTATTGCTTCTCGCCATTCCATCTAGATTTCCAGCTTAACAATATTTTGGAGGTATTTTGCTAACATTAATACGTTGCCATTGTATTGGCCTCTGGTATATTCTACAGGCACGATAAGTTGTAACGTACACAAAACTAAAACGATGACGATGAACGTCACATACCCAACAGACATCACAGAAGAAAAGCTTTTACCCGAGTCATCTGGTCCTGTCTATGACGTACCTGATGACGTACTAGACACTGTATACTTCTGTGTCAACTGCGTCATCATTCATATACTTTGTGCATGGGGAATCGTGGGAAACTGTCTCACTATTTTCATCATGTCCTGTCAAGGCTTCAAGGAATCGATCACGATTCTAATCACATCGCTAGCCGTGTCTGATCTCCTGTTCTCTATCACTGAGATGCTCCTGGAGATGCCCTCGGTGGTATCGACCCTCGACTCCACCGCGTCACAAACTTACTACACCTACTACCTCGCCTACGTGGATACGTGGAACTACTTCGCCGTGGAAGCCAGCGTCTATTGCGTCTTGATGATCGCCCTTGAGAGAATGATCGCTGTGTGGTTTCCCTTTAAAGCTGGTCTAATCTTCACGCCATTTCGTACGACAATCATGACGATTTCTGTTTTTTGTCTCATCGGTTTTATTAACCTTCCTCATTATTTTCAGTTCTGTGTTAAATGGTTACATTTTAATTCAACCGGTACATCGGTTGCTGTACCTTACGATTGCCGTGTAATATTTGAATACCAAAGTACTTCATACAACACGTATGAGCGCGCGGTCCTGCTACCGTTTTCTACTGTTATACCTATAATCTTAAATGCTTTATTCTCTTTTATGATCATTGCCAGACTTCTTCTCTCATCAAGACAAGTGAAAACCATGTCAGAGAAAGCCCACACGAAGAGGATCAAAGACTTGAAGTCTGTGAAGATAACTCTAACGTTATGTTTGTGTTTGATGTTTCTCGTCTTAATCCCGTCAAACACGTTTTATTTTTACTTCATCTCAGACAGTCAGCTCTTCACACAAAGAGGCCAGATTCTTGTCTGGTGTCTGTTAGAAGTTGTTTATCAAGTGAACGCTTCCCTTGGTTTTATTGTATACGTGACCATGAGTTCGAAATTTTCGAAGATTTTCAAGAAATACTTTTGTCGTTGTTTAAATACCAAGCGTTGATTACATATTAAACTAATTTGCTTTTTTTTCTCTATGTAAATCATTATTATAAAACTTAATCTTAGATTGTACTCTTTCGTTTAATTTAGCGCACACTTACATAAAATTTTGTTAATGGCAAACTTTTTTTTAAAGCAGTGCTGTAGGCCTACCAGAATTTGAAAACAATTTGTAATTTTTTTTCTTCATTGATCAACCTTATCTTGTTCGTCTTAGTGTACTTTAGTCACAATCATAAGATCTTTAGTTTTTTTCTTTTTAGTATAACATACATTACATTGATGTAGGCCTACTTAGTTTACATTAAAACAGGAGCGATTTTTAAAAATGCAATTAAAAATTAGCACAGTTTTAATACACAGATAAGAACAAAGTGGTGCGAGACATAATTCAACAACCGATTTTTTAAGTTTATTGAGGTCATTTTCTGTTAACCTAAGATAAAACTTAAGACAAAGATAAGATAAAATTTATGTATTAAAAAAGTCTGTCTTGTTCCATTCACTCATATTTAAATTAAATTGATTTGCTGTTGATTGAAACCAACATGAAGCTTATTATTTCAGCGCTGTGTTTTCTATTTTTCACATTGTACAGAGCAGGTGATCTTTTTTTTTAATTAATATTAATAATACGTAGAGTTTAGCATAATAAATATGGTTGAAACAATAACATATTTAAGACATTCAGATGTAGGCGTGTTCAATGGACAATGATTTTGCTTCAGATTTTCGACTGTTTAACTAACACTCGACCGCTTGACATTTCTATTTTTAAAACAGTTTACTTTAGGTTTAGTTAATCCATCTTCGACAACATTTCAGATGATCCAACGTTTAACGAGTGATAACTTAAATTTCTAGAACATTCCAGCAGTTTTTTTTTTTTTTTTGCATTGTTTATTTTAACTGCTTAAGCCTGTTTATATAAATAAGTAGAAAAAATGTGAATATTTAACTTCATTTTGTCCAACATTAAGTTGAATTTTTGTCGTCTTTGTATTTTTTTTGAAAGAAATGACATTCGATCACTACTTGATGCGAATAGAAAAGTTTATTTCAGAATGTGATGTTGTTCTTATAGAGGCGGGTGCAGAGACAAGAGGACTATGTCAGGGGTGTGGCGTTTTTGACATCAATTGTTGGTCGACCTGCTCCAACCCAGGGGAGGTAATTGGTAAAAGGATTGTGAACAGCAAACGACAGCTCTGCCAATTTTGTGGAACATTCGACATCGGCTGTTGGTCAACTTGCCCCAACCCTGGGGAGGTCATTGGTAAAAGGATTGCGAACAGGAAAAGGGGGCTATGTCAGGGGTGTGGCGTTTTCGACATCAATTGCTGGTCGACCTGCTCCAACCCAGGGGAAGTGATTGGTAAGAGGGTTGCCAACAGCAAAAGAGGGTTGTGTCAGTTTTGTGGAACATTCGACATCAACTGCTGGTCCACTTGCTCCAACCCTGGGGAAGTGATCGGCAAGTGAAGGTCGCCCGGCCTTGAAGATTCAGACCACTCCAGATGTAAGTCAAACACTTTTCATTCATTAGCGCGTTAAAACGGTTGAAGCTGCTAACCTGCATTGGTGGAGTCATTATACAACACGTGGTTTAGTTGTTGAACGGGCGCTTGGTCACCTGAAAGACACGTTGGTTGAGACTATGGGTGGTCCACGTCCAAGTAAACCCCCCTACCAAACCCCATGTCCACCTACCGAACCCCATATATATATATATATATATATATATATATATATATATATATATATATATATATATATATATATATAAATATACACATACAGAGAGAGAGAGAGAGAGAGAGAGTAAACGATCAATCTAAACAATGATCACGCAAACACATTCAGAGAACGCATATACATAAATAATTTTTCCGTTTTTTATACTACATATACGTTTTGCTTTTATTTTTTTATTTTTTTTTTTGCAGATCTCCAAATTATGGAAACGCGTACAAAATAATTAGAAAATAAATATCTGCCTGATTTGTGTTTTCTGTTATCTGTTTTCATGTATGTACATTCAAGAGCTGTCGCGAAAGGGTTGGTTGCGCTCAAGTACTTATAAACTATATACATGTATGAACTATGTAGTACCTGAAAGATCAATTCCAGTTTAAGGTTCCAATTTAGCTAGTTTCACTAGTTGTTTTGTATGTGTGAGTATGTCTGAGTGTGAACGCGTGCGTACGTACATGCGTGTGTGTATGTGAGTGATTGTGAGTGTATGCGTCCGTGTTTCTGGAGGGAGAACAAGCTTTAATGCAATCACTTATTTTCTAACGATTAAAGTTAAAGCAAAATAAAGCGGAAGTGATCTCCCCTACACCGGAACTGTTCGGATAGCACTGCCCGTTGAAACGGGTTATAGATAGGTGGGTAAGGTTTTTGACAAAACCGCATGACTTGAGAAAACACAAAACACATAGAGGACAAAAAACTCATGGAGTGCCCTGTTTTTTTATGATGATATAATAATAATCATTAAAAAAGTTTAAAAAAACCCACGTTTTCTGATTGAACTAAAAAAGTAGAAAATAAATGCTATACATCACAATAATGCAAGCGATCACTCTACTATAAGCGATGAAAAACGTGGGGCGCCGAAGTAAAAGTTTTTTATCGGTCATTGTTAATATAAGATGTAAAAGTTATATTACTATTGATTAGATAATACTATTGACTTTTATTAGGGAGCTTGTAGAGAATCAACAGTATTAGAAACTGTAAGAAAATCACGGCGCCCCACGTTTTTCATCGCTTATAGTAGAGTGATCGCTTGCATTATTGTGATGTATAGCATTTATTTTCTACTTTTTAGTTCAATCAGAAAACGTGGGTTTTTTAAAACTTTTTTAATGATTATTATTTTCTACTTTTTAGTCTTTGTATGTTTGTTTGCATTCAAATCTTGCTATCGATTTTATCTTTTCACTTTTTTTTGGGTAAACGAAGACAACTCGTAAAAAGACAACTCGTAAAAAACACGTTGTGTGAATATGTTACTGACTAGAACACATAGATTTGAACCCGTGTCGAGTGGGTTAGCAATCGTGTGCCCAACCACTCGACCATATCTTCTCCCCCATACTGGCCACCAGTTGTTACGTTCTGGTTGTTTGTAGACAAACAACGCGTGACAACTACTCAGTAGGCAAAAAGAGGGAGAGTATCGAACCTTCTTTTCATCAAATTACAGTTACTGGGTTATGTCCCTTTTTCCCCACGTTTTTATATTATTATTATATAGGGGTATAAAATGATCAATAAAATGTTTCCATGGATCAATTTAGTAATAATAACAGTTGAATATTCTATTGTCATCCGAAACAAAGCTTCCCTGAAAATTTCAGCGCGCTAGCTAACTGGGAAGTGCACGAAATTTCGATCGCAAGATTTGATTGGAAAAACAAACAAACAAACAAACAGAGGCGAAAGCAAGTTAAAGAAAACGTGGGGAAAATATGAACTCTGAAGAAAAACTGGACATAAAGTACAATTTCCGGTTATCGGAAATCGCTCAAAGATTTCAAGAAATAAAAGAATATGAGCTAATACTTATATGAAATTTCGTCAAAGACATTAAAATGGCACCTAAATTTTCTTGCTCACAGGCGAATAAACAAATAGACAGATGGACAGACAAACATATAGATAGATAAACGAAAGATAGACAGGTAGACAGATAGACAAATAGATAGACACACACACACACACACATACACACACACATACACATTCAGACAATAAAACTCGGTTGTTCCTACTAAGGAAGGTGTAAAGCGTCGAGATTTTTTTTTGCACGACTACAATACCGTGAACGAGAAAGAGTGTAAACACCGAGAAGTTTAATATAACAGATTAAAAATGCACATGCAAATAAAATAGTTTACACAAAACAGCACCAACCCTGAACACGCACGGATATGGTGGAACTAAACAACAGCAACTGAAGTGTTTTGGTAAGTCGCAGTTAGAGCTCAGCCTTAGAGACTAGCGAACTGTTGAGTACTTTTATCGACGTGTCAAATTATTTTAGTTATAATTTTTCAAATTTTACCTAGAATGTGGTTGTAGTTTGCTTGTTGTGTTTTATTACATAGGGTTCTATAAAACAACGGTTTGAAAAAAAATTTGGTTGGCATCGTATATAGTCTAGATCTAGATCTAGATCAAGATCAAGATCTAGAGTTGTTTTTATTTATCAAACTTTGTGCTAGAGTTATGGTTAGGGATTTCGGGAAGTATGGTCTAGTGGTAGAGCGCTCGACTACGAATTTGTAAATCACGAGTTCAGATCTCCTGAGTCCACCCAGTTATAATGGGTACCTGACTCACATTAGCGCTCCTAAAATAATATCATTGAATAAGTTAGTTTGATGCTCTAACAAGTAACATGTTCTGGTCGTAAACTGACCCTTACCTTTTTTAACTTTATCCCTATTGAGTAAAGCTCAGCCACTTTTAATTTCCCCAGCTTTAGTCAGGTACCCATCAGAGCTGGGTGGGCTCAAAAAACGTACTAGAAACTGGATTTAGGGATCCGATCTGGAATCGAAACTTTCGGATTAGGAGTCATGTGCTCTAGTATCTGACCACGCCATCACATAGCCATCTAGCATATCAAACAATTACATACTTAAATATAAACCAAAAAGTTTATGTTTTGAAAAAATTGTCTTGCCTTTCTATTAGCCATTTTTACACAACCACAATATCTTTAACACTCTAATTATTTCTTAACACCCCCAAATTTATTTATAACCTTAACCTGTGGTGTCGCCTCTGATTTTAAACTTTATTATTGTTTAAGATGACTTAAACCATTAATAACTACATTTGTTTACCTTTAATTATTAGATACCAATTCTTATTATCAAAATAAGTTAGTAGCCTAGAAATTGCTTTATTTTTAGAAAAAAAATTCGTTTGTTATTAAATGGCTACGATGTTGTATTTATAGGACTTGTAATTATGCCACAACTTCTCGTTTTTGAATTTGCCAGGTAGTATTTTCAAACCAAAAATGAATTGTTCTATTAAATCAGTACAATATAATAATTGAAATGTTACTTCCGCTATGGTTAACTTATTTAAAATCGTAAACGATGATTTTGATTTAAATGATTTAAATTCCGTTCAAATACACGTCGGGGAAAATAGGCCGAGAAGTAGTTTTCAGTGTTTCTTTCAGACTTACTGTTTTCTCCTGTGGGTTGGGGGGGGGGGGCTTGAAAATTGGGGGGGGGGCGGACACTAGTAAAAGTAGCATATACATTTTCTGTATAAATTCTATAAATTCTATTCCGTTCACGGGGGAAGGGAGCTGTAGTCTTGCTTCCTCGAAAAGGGAGGGGGGTGCAGTGAACACCCCCTCACTCCCACAACCCCCCCCCCCCTCCCCCGCCAAGAGAGACCTATAATAAACATTGTTAGTGCTTTCTAAATCAAGTTATTATTTTCGTTTACTTTTTCTTCAGGAATACTTTTAATGATTTAAATTAGTTTATCATGGCGGGTGTTTGATTTTCATATTTCCAATTAGAAATTAAGAATATCAAATAAAAGATTTTTTTTGTATGTGTCTTTTACACAACGTATTGAACGAATACACCTCAGATGGATAGTGCCGTGCAAACACAAAACTTTCGTTATTATAATATAATCAGTATTGTTGTAGAATTTGCTTGATTAAGCTTATTACATTATATAGTTTGGAAACGACAGTCAAAGTTGTAAAAACAAAAACTAAAAGGTGAATTGGTCGTTTCGTGCAGCCATCATTACCAAGGCAACAGCTTTATAAAGTAGGTCAAGCGATAACCTACTAACCTTGAGTCAAATCCTGGTAACATTGCTAAGCCCAAGCTTAATCCCAATTTTATGGGTTTATCGGCACAGAGGCGTAGCGACCATACCCGGCGCCCGGGGACAAACTTTTAATTTGGAGCCCCCTCGGGAGCAAATTTTCAATTTGCACCCCAACCCTCAAACTTTTCGATTTGCACCCTCCCCCTTCCCCCCCCCCCCCTCAAACTATTTATAATGCAAAAATGCTGCTAAAATGACATTTTAATTTGTTTTTTACAACCCATTTTGGCGCCCCCTAAGGTCGGCGCCCGGGGACATATGTACCCCCCTGCCCCCCCCCCCCCTACCCATCGCTACGCCTCTGTATCGGCATTCTAATGTCTTAATCGATAACTATTTCCTCCCCCCGCCTAGCGCGTACAACCCCACACAGCGGAAATGAGACTGTCATTGTCTGCGCTCGGCGCCTTACGGACAAACACGAACACCAATCGGGGCTCCGATGAAGGCTCGGAGGCGCCATCGGAATCGGGCGGCATCAAAGGTTCCTTCCCGGTCAAGTGTGTCGTTTTCTTCTTCAGCCTGATCCTGCAAATCCTCACCTCGACCGTCGGTCTCTTCATCATCAACCTCGCCTTCCTGATGCTCGGCTCGTATATCTTTTACATGTTAGCACCACTTACTACTGATATTATATATATATATATATATATATATATATATATATATATATATATATATATATATATATATATATATATATATATATATATATATATATATATATATATATAGAGAGAGAGAGAGAGAGAGAGAGAGAGAGAGAGAGAGAGAGAGGGGGGGAATATATATATATATATATATATATATATATATATATATATATATATATATATATATATATATATATATATATATATATATATATATATATATATATATATATATATATATTTATTTATTTATTTATTTATATATATATATATATGTGTATATATATATATATATATATATATATATATATATATATATATATATATATATATATATATATATATATATATATATATATATAAACAAGCTGTTAAACTTACATCGAGAACATTTTTTTTCATTCAAATTAGGTATATTTTGCTTTGGTGTCCCATAACATCAGCTTTGTGAAGCTACTGCGATCAGCTAATATTATTTTTAACATGTTCATCTGGTATTGTTAAATTTACAATCATCTCTAACCTCTCTATTTTCCAAGACACGTGGGGCAGATGAAGTAGAGTTTGTGTTTCATATAAGGGGATAGTGTGGTCAGCACTATGCCAAGCCGCTTTGTTTACCTTGTGTGAGCCAGGTACCCTGGTATGAGTCGGGTGGACTCAGGGGCGTCCAAAGACTCGTACCTGGTACTCGAACTCAAGACCTTTGGGACAACACAATAGTTTACCGCACCGATACTTGGATTATCGATTACACTCTGTTTTAAAATTACCCTGCAGTATCGAATCGCCACTCGAAGAATCGCTCCAGAATAATCTTCAGGAGGATCGGAGGCTGCTAGTGGAAGAACTGATGAATTTAGGGACAAACGCTGAGAATTGGGACGCACGCGCCGATACAACGCTGGCCGAATACGAACTGAAGTTAGGTATCAGTCAAAAAAACACACCGGTTATTCAGTCATTTGGTCATTCGGTCATTCGGTCATTCGGTCATTCTGTCATTCAGTCACTCAGTCATTCGGTCATTCGGTCATTTGGACATTCAGTCATTCGGTCATTCGGTCATTTAGTCATTTGGTCATTCAGTCATTCGGTCATTCGGTCATTCGGTCATTTGGACATTCGGTCATTCGGTCATTTGGTCATTCGATCATTCGGTCATTCGGTCATTCGGTTATTCGGTGATTCAGTCATGCAGTCTTGCAATAATTCATGCATTCAATCATTTAGTCATTCAGTCATTCAGTCGTTCAGTCATTCAGTCATTCAGTCGTTCAGACATTTGCTTTTTAGTTTGATTGTTTATTAATTCTTTGAGTTACTCTTTCGTTCTTCCTTTAATTCCTTCACTCTTTCATTCTTTCATTCAATCATTCATTCGTTTATTCACTAGTTCATTTATTCATTCATTCATTCATTACTTTATAATGCATTCATTCATGTTTTCATTCGTTCATTCATTCATTTAACTACTCATTTAGTTCTTTCTTTTATTCGATTGTTCCATATTTCGTTTATACGTTTAACCGTTCGTTTTTTCATCATTCCAATAATATCCACTTTCTATTGACCCATTCATCCATCTGTCCGTCCGTCCATCCACCCATCCTTCTATCCATCCATCTACCCATTCATCCACCTATCCTTCTATCCATCCATCTACCCCTTCATCCACCTATCATTCTATCCATCCAACTACCTATCCATCTACCCATTCATCCACCCATCATTCTATCCATCCATCTACCCATCCATCTACCCATCCATCCACCCATCCTTCTATCCATCTATCTACCCATTCATCCACCCATCCTTCTATCCATCTATCTACCCATCCATCCACCAATCCTTCTATCCATCCATCTACCCATCCATCCACCCATCCTTCTATCCATCCATCTACCCATCCATCCACCAATCCTTCTATCCATTCATCTACCCATTCATCCATACTACCATCTATCCATATACACTGGATACCACCTAACAAAAATAACCTCCCCGTCCCCGTCCCCCCCACTTCCCCCCCCCCCTACCCATCAAACTCCAACTTTGCAGCCAACTTCTACCGGAAGCGAGCGACCTTGAAAGTCCAGTCGGACAACACTACAGGTGGACAGACGAAGCTGTGGACCGGCTACGGCGCCATCATCTACAGCTACTCAATCATCACAACAATTGGTCGGTACTAGACATGCTATCCAAGGCCGGTACTACACATGCTATCCAATCATAACAACGATTGGTAGTTACTAGACATGCTGTCCATTCATCAATTGGACGGTACTAGACATGCCATCCATTCATCAATTGGTCGGTACTAGACATGCTATGCAATCATCACAACTATTGGTCGGTACTAGACATGCTATCCATTCATCACATCAATTGGTCGGTACTAGACATGCTATCCATTCATATCACAACAATTGGTCGGTACTAGACATGCTATCCATTCATTACAACAATTGGTCGGTACTAGACATGCTATCCATTCATATCACAACAATTGGTTGGTACTAGACATGCTATCCATTCATTACAACAATTGGTCGGTACTAGACATGCTATCCATTCATATCACAACAATTGGTCGGTACTAGACATGCTATGCAATCATCACAACAATTGTTCGGTACTAGACATGCTATCCATTCATATCACAACAATTGGTCGGTACTAGACATGCTATGCAATCATCACAACAATTGGTCGGTACTAGACACGCTATCCATTTATCACAACAATTGGTCGGTACTAGACATGTTTTCTAGATTACAATAACCCCGTTTCTCTTTTCCCATAAACGAACAGCCATACTGACAAGAAAAAAACACGTTTTTTTTTTAATTAAAAAAAACTTAGTAATACCAATTATAAATAATTAGATTATTTGTTTTTTTAATTTCGTGCCACACGCTAATGATGTTCATCCGATGCAGATTTACCATATCTGTCTCGTAAAAGATTAAGATTGTAGCCCCTGGGACAAACAGTAATTGTATTGTTTTTTGTTGTTTGTGAATGTGATTTTTTTTATTTTTTCGTTGGAATTTACTTTTATTCTCTCGAAGCTTACTGCTCTACGATTAAGTTTTTTTTTTAGATTCTTACTTAGTTAAATAGGTATAGGCGACTTGTATTTTAAAACTCACCCCACCCCTCCCACCCCAACCTTGAAATTGTAAACGCTGTGTGCATTAATTTAAAATAATCCCATAGGTCAAAGGTTAAATATATAAAGGAATTGTCAGTAACGGTAATACTACTAATAAGTCAGTAAAGGACATACGACAGATAGGTTGGCTACCATTAAGCACATGAGTCAATTGTGCGTAAATAGAAGTATCATTCGTTTAAACACTTGCAAAAGACCAGATCTCTTCTATAACATTTGTGAGGGTGGGGAATTTTAAGAGGACGTCACGAATGAATCCAATAACACAAGTTCAAGTATAAATGTTCTTTATTAAAATTATAAAACCAAGTTCTACCTAACTAACTAGCATATTCTATACTCCCTACTACTACTACTGTCTGCCGTTTCCTAGATCTACCTATCTGACCGTTCACTTCCCTAATTATCTACTGTTATCTAGCCCTACACATCTCGAATGTCTCTGACCGCTTCCTAACACCTTCTCTACTCTTCGCTAGCTACCTAAAAACTCCGCTTATCTCTCCTGACCCACGCCTCAGTGGTCAGCTGACCGTCTCACGTGACCGGTCAGTTCCCGTATTTCTGCTATCTATCTGAGCTCTCCGACGCAACCTTGCGTCATCACAACATCTTCATAACCACACGCGATGGCGGATTGTGGCAGGGGACGTCTGGTAAAGAGATAAACGATCAAACCTGCGCAGCTGCCCGGAAGTTGAGAACCTGTTACGCAATCGTTTTGCTGAATCAAATGCGTAGCGACACTTCCCGGCGCCCGGGAACAAATTTTCAATTTGTACTCCCCCCCCTTAAACTTCCAATTTTACACCCCCCCCCCCCCCCTCAATCAAACTTTCAAGCTAAAATGATATTTTAATTTGTTTTTTTTCAACCCATTTCGGCGCCCACTAAGGTTGGCGCCCGGGGACATATGTACCCCCTCCCCCCCCCCCATCGCTACGCCTCTGTGTTGAATTCAAAATAATGATTTCAGTGCATCGCGCATGCAAGATATAATTTGCCCAGGCGCCTTTGCTCCTTGGAGTGAATATCGCGGGAGGTCCAAGAAATTATTGGGTTCCATAGTTATTAGAAAATGTATTATCTATATATATATATAATTCTCTTCTTGGAGACCCTAGAAAACAAGCTGTAAGCGCGCTCCCTACCGCCCCCATCCCTACATGGTCTGGTGAGCTGTGGTTCACGCTAAGTGTTTACAATCGTAGAGCCGGGTTTAGTGACGGCTATTAGGGGCAGATAATTTAGTTTGAAACTATTTTAAACTTAGGGGAGGTAACTAAGAGGAGGCTGCTTTCACGGGCGGAGGGGGGGTAGGGGTTGGGGAAAGGAGGGGGGTATCGTCCTTAACTAGCTACTGACAGTGTTTTAAAGCAAATATATTCAGTGGCAGCATTGGTACTGTCGAATTCACAAATTATGAATTACTGAAAAGTAGAAAATAAAACAACTAAATAGCGGCGTATGATACGCCGCGTGTCGGCTCGTTATTTATAATACACTAGTGATAGGGGCTCACCAAAATCTTCAACGTGGTGTCCCTCTTAAAAGTAAACACTCCCTGACGAGATTAAAACGTAGATGTTATCTAAAAATAGGCTGGGGTAATATCGTCTGCTCCACGAGACTGGGGAAGTTCATTACCATTGTGTACGGCCTTTTTGGCATGCCGCTCCTCTTCACGCTCAGCCAAGATGTCGGTAACCTGGTGTCGCTGTGTAACAAGAAAATCTGGAACTTGATCAAACTGTAAGTAACAAATTCTGGAACTTGATCAAACTGTAAGTCAGATATTCTGGAATTTGATCAAATTGTGAGTCAGAAATTCTGGAATTTGATTAAACTGTAAGTCAGAAGTTCTGGAATTTGATCAAACTGTAAGTCAGAAATTCTGGAATTTGATAAAACTGTAAGTCAGAAGTTCGGGAACTTGATCAAACTGTAAGTCACAAAATCTGGAATTTGATCAAACTGTAAGTCAGAAATTCTGGAATTTGATCAAACTGTAAGTCAGAAATTCTGGAATTTGATCAAACTGAGTAAGTCAGAAATTCTGGAATTTGATCAAACTGTACGTCAGAAATTCTGGAATTTGATCAAACTGTAAGTCACAAATTCTGGAATTTGATCAAACTGTACGTCAGAAATTCTGGAATTTGATCAAACTGTAAGTCACAAATTCTGGAACTTGATCAAACTAAGGTGTCGGCGGCGTGATCAAGTCGTAAAAGCTCATGGATTCTAATCCGAAAAGTCTCGAGTTCGAACCATCGGGCAGATGAGGTTCGATAGCTGGAGACGGCAACTCTTCTTGAGAGACAACTCCAAAATCAAACAACTGCTGCCTTGTGGTTTGATCAAATTCCATGGATGCAAATCCAAAAAATAAGCAGGCTAAACAGAGGCGTAGCGACCCTTCCCGGCGCCTGGTGACAAACTTTTCTATTTGAACCCCCCCCCCCTCGAGATTTCGATTTGCACTCCCCCCTCAAACTTTCGATTTGCACCCCCCCCCCCCCTCGAGATTTCCTTTTGCACCCCCCTCAATCTTTCGATTTTCACCCCCCTCAACCTTTCTATTCATTTTTCCAACCCATTTTGGCGCCCCCTAAGGTCGGCGCCCGGGGACATATGTCCCCCCCCCCGCCCCCCCCCCCTCGCTACGCTACTGAGGCTAAAAAACGAAGTGCACGGCCTATATAGTGCGTGATACTTAAATGTATTGGGGGGAATCCTTTCCAACACTAAAATTAAGAATGCAGAAAAAGATCAAACTAAGTCTCAAAATGTGGAATTCGATTAAATTTGCTAGATAGAAACTCTAGTAATTGATCAAAACAGTCATAAAACTCTGGAATCTTATCAAGGTGTAAATAATAAATTCTCCATTCTTCACAAGCGGTAAACGACAAGCATGTTTGTTTTTGCTTAGTTAATTTTTTGTTTAAAGTATTTATGTAATTTACTTTTTAATTCTGTCATCGTTTGCAGGTTTTAATTTTTCTTTGACTGTTTCTATGTGCTCATACAATTAAAAAGTCGAGTAACGCAGTGTGAAAACGTGTCATTGCAGCTTGTACGATCGTTGTGTGGCGGGGGCCGAGAAGGAACAAAAAGGTGCCAAAGCTCAGAAAAAGAAAAGTGTCTCAAAAACAGGAAGCAAAACTGACGAAGAGGACGACGAGGGCGACGAGGGCGACGAGGGAGACGAGGGCGATGAAAGCGAGACCAACGTCCAGACTGGCACTTCCGGCAGCGACAGCCGGACCGCGTCTGCGACAGAAGCCTCCTCCAAAGACGCGTCAGGGAACTGGGCGCGTACTAAGAGCAGGGACGCTTCGGAAAACCGCCATACGGAACGCAAACCCCAACGACGACGCAGCATCTTCTCTAAAACAAAAGCTGACCTAGATCAAGCCTGGCGCCGTGCGATCAAAGAGGATTGTAACTATTCTAAGGATTACCTGGCCAGTTTCCAATCCACTGTTGATTTTATGGTGTGTGCTTCCAAATACGACGATCAGATCTCTAGCGTTGACTTCATGCCTCACAAGCGCATTCAGTCCATCCAGGACGTAATCTTGTTGACCGGTCAGCTGAGTATGATGACGAGAGATGAGTTCCTGCAAGGCATGAGGTTTGCCGGGTTCACGGAGAACGACCTAATGGACAGCGAGGCGTCGGATTACCCCGAAACGAGCACAAAGATTAAAGACAGCAGGTTTATTTCTGTGTCACAGCCAAACTTAAGTTTAAAAGACGAGACAGGGTGGTATTTTACCGAGACTGAACGGTTGCCTGTTGAAGAGAACAGTCCATCGGGGTTACAACATACCACGCCACCAAAGTCGTTTCGTGCAGAAAGCTTGGACCAACAAGACATCCTTCCCGAACAGCCATCCAATGACAATCTTCTGCATGAAAATGCAGCCTCTTTGAATGAGATGCGCTATCCTCATTCAAGTCTTATCTTGGATACTGAAAATAATTTGCATTCTTCTCTGGAAAAAGATCGCATTTCTAAAACCGAAAAGGAATTACACACTTTTTATGAGAAAGTGCAAGTTTCCGACGCTGAAAATAAGCTGCGAATTCATGACGATAATAAATTTGAACATGGGAGAATAAACAATGTTGAAAACGAATTCCATGTATCGCCTAAAAGCGGTGTACATGTGTCTTTCAAAACAGATAACATATCGAACGATGGATCCCTTGGTCCTTCTAACACCGACGAGTTTCTGGCAGGGTCTCCGTCTTCAGAGAAAGATGTCAGGAGAAAACATGATCCGATTCCAGCGGAATCCCATCGTCATGAAAGAGTGGCTTCTTGGGTCAGAAAAATCGACACGCCTAGTGAATATAACGCTGGTCTTAGTGAAGACTACGACTTGCGCGCGTGTGGTGACAACACAACAATCAACACAACAATCAACACGACAATCAACACGACAATCAACACCTCCATCTCACTGTGTGAAGACCCGCCAACCGCAGAAGCCGACCTCAAACTGCGTGGCTCAAACACAAGACAGAAGAAAATCAGATCTGCTCTCGTTGTTTCTACGCCTTTGGCGTCTGCGTGTGCACCTTCAGCTGAGCCAGACCAAGTACCAAACGACCTGCCCGACACTGTTATAAACAAACCCCGTGTTCAAAGACGTAGTGAATCGCCTTTAGCTCACGGTGACTCTACCTTAAGGTACGTCACCCTAGCTCAAGAGATTGGCGTGATCCAAGAAGATAAAACAACCCAGGATAACTCTAACCAAAGGCACCAACACAAAAAGAATACATTTCATGAACCTACTCAATACGACTCGGACAACATGGACCAAGCCTCTAACCCTGAGATTGACGAATTCTACGATACTAAATATGTATCTTCTCACGCACAAAACAAGGCCAAAATTCAGTGCAACGTTTACAACACAGAAACTAGAAAATCTCAAACAGAGTTGAATCATTCTCCTTTGAACTATAATCCAAGAATCAGTCATGAATCTATTGACAGAAACATAATGAATTACACTGGATCCCGTCAAAATGAAAGCAGTGAACAAGATAAATTCCATGAGGTTGTTGTAAATGAAAATTATCTTTATCAAAAACCGTCATCAAATCGAAACTTCCGACATGAAAATCGTATCGAAGATAAGACTGATGAAAAAAATGTTCCAGAAACTCTAGATCCAAAAACAGAAAAACTAGCAAACATTTTTCAGCGCGTTCTACAAATAGAGAAGTTGCCCTTCAATAACGTCCCACCAAAACCCAGCCACAAATTTGCTTCCTACTTCAGCGAATATTTACCATGGAACAGAAGCAGAGAACAAACACGTCAAAATTATGTTCAGCCATCTAACAAACAAGGTACGAAAGAATCTGACGGGGGTGAAGAGATTGACTTGATGTACAACCCAAGGAAGCTCTCCCATTTCAAAGCGTCTCCTCCATTTTTTGCTGCCTCGGGCGGGTACAGGTCCAAATTTTTCTTCCCGACGGCTTGTAGTCTAGCAGACGTAGGGAGCCCTCAGTCGCACGAGATTGACAATTTCGAATCAATCGAATACGGTAAAACACATTCGATTTTTCTTAAAGATGGCACGGATGAACGGGCCGGAAGTATGGGATGTAAAATCGAAAGTAAAATATGCAAAGAAGAAAAGGTAACAGCTGGTTACAAAAATAATAAATCAACACAGTTGAATACTGATCAGAAAAATCCTTCAGAGAAAATACATTCAAGTGATAAAGTGTGTGTAAGCCCCGATTCTCGCACGCTCCCAAAGACATGTGAGAAAAACAACGCCACAGAGAACAGTGCTCAAAGCCATGACGAAACTTTCCTGCGACTCCACGAAAAATTTAGACCAGACTTTGCAAGGAACAACAACACAAATCAAAGCGGGGGGGAGGAGGGATCCATCACCTCAGGACAACCAGAACAGGAGCAAGAGGAACCGGAAATGCTAGACGAAGAGCGGCTAAAAGCCGGTCGGTTAATCATGGACCTCTTTATGACTAAAAAGACCCCTCGCCTGGATGAAGGCTCTTCGTCGGATGAGGAATCCAAGCAGCAGGTCAAAGATGCAAAACCGGAATTCCACACCCCCCTCATGGTACTGTACGCTTTCGGCATCATGTTCGTCCTGCTGGGCAGTCTCGTGATCTACAACCTGGCAGACGAGACTCTCAAGCTGACCTACCTAGACTCGGTGTACTTTGTCTACGTCCTCATCTCGACGACGGGGTTCGGGGATCTGCTCCCGACCACGAGCATGTACTTCTTCACGGCGGTGTACGGCTTCATCGGCATGTCCGTCTTCAACATCATCATCAGCGCCACGCTGGAGACGATGCTGTCTGTGCTCGACTATATCAACGCCCTGGCCGTGGGGGGCGGGTTCATGGACGATGGGGACAACGAGTCGGACGAGTCTTAACCACACGAAAAAATTTCAAGAGGTTTTTTTTTTATATTTCTTTAAAATATTTTTACTAAATATATGTAGATGATATGCTAGTTTTTTTTTTGTTTTTTTTTTAAATACCATATAGTGCATAAACGCACTGAAGTAAACTCCTAAACAATAACCCTCCTACACACACACACATACAAACACATACACACACTCGCCTCACAAAAATGTGCGTATATTATTATAAACCAAACTCTAATCTAGGTATGATTCCCCGACAACTACGAACTTGAACCAAAACTACCTTTATAACTCGTATTTCGGAAGGTGCGATTTGTGGAAATACGGGGGCTAATGCAACAGCATGCCTCATACAACATATTCTCTTATTTATACATACGAATAAAAAAATGCACAATGACGATCATAAACCTTGTGTTTTGTTTCCAATGTTTCGATGGCTTTATTCGGAATTAAAATACTAATCAAATGAGTCAACATTGGGGAATACAGCAGCGGAGGCAGACAAATATTTGACGGTTGTGGAAAGCTGTGACAAGAAATCTGCATGTCGATCTTTGAAAATGTTACGCAAAAAAATTCCCCCCCCCCACCCCGCTACCCCCACTCCACACTCACGCCTGCCACTCATCTACCCCCCCCCCCCCCCCAACATTCCACCCCCTCCCTAGATCGTCTCTATCTTTACATATGCGGGCAGATCGGTTGTTTAGTTAACACCTTTGCGGCTATTGTAAATAAAACTCTGTTAAATGAAAACAAAAATCCTTTTCTCATAATATTTATTCACACCGGTGATCACACATCAGACATCACTGTACTTTTCCAGGACACACAAAAGAATGGAACGCTCGTCTGCTAAGTTTTTTTTTAAATCAATATGGCGTAGTAAAAACCAAGCATTTCAATGAACAATTGTATTGTTTTAAGTCTACAAATTATTCCTTTGATATTTGAAGAAATTAAATATTCCTTTGAAGAACTTTATTTGCTAAACATCTATCGGGATTTTTTCTTGGAAGGTATGTTTTTAAATAAACCAAATAATATTTATGTAAATTTTTGCAACGCTTCCTATATGTAATAGTCAACACATGAGCTGTGATAGGGCATACATTTTTTTAACCGAAATAAGTTTTTTATCTACTGAATGTATATTTGTAATGATAGAATAACTTATAGATCTATTTGTACAACTCAGAGGCTTTGCATTTTATTTTGGTTTTATTATGGGGTATCGATGAGACAATTACGAATTACCATATTATTTGACATCTTTAATTGTCTTATATTTTTTAAGAAGTTTAAATATTTGTCTTTCTTTTTTTCTACCAAAAACACAGAATCATAGTACATAATATTAAGAGGGCTTAATATAGTTCGGCTTTGCATTGTAATAACAACATATGCAATATAATTGTAAAATGAAGGTACGAAGCAATCTACTAACCTTATAGAAGCCATGTCTACCCTTTATTTTAAGATAATATGGAAACAAAGGCTTGTTATAAACTTTTATGGCAACTTTTCCTAATTGAGTTTAGACTGATTACAGTTTGCATAAACCGACTTTACCTGAGTGAAGTTTAGACTGGCTAGAGTTTGCATATGGCGACTTTACCTGAGTTAAGTTTAGACTGGCTAGAGTTTGCGATATTCTCAGGGTGCATGTTGCAACTAACCATATCTCTAATCGGAGCTGTTGGAAACACAATAAATCTTCAAATTTTTTATAGAATGGGACTAAAAGATGGCGTCACCTTGTCGTTCTACATCCTAGCCTGCTGCGACCTCCTCTACCTGTTGTCTGTGATCACGTCTAGTGTAAGCTACGGCGTCCATGTCTACGAGGTGTGGAGCGGGTATCTCTTCTGGTTTCCTGTCGAGCCTTACGGTGTGTTTGTCCTGTTGGTCAACATCGCCAGCACGCCATACACCATCAGCGTTCTACTCATCACCTACCTGGCTGTTGCCCGCTGTTTAAGTATCTCCAGACCTTTCCAGTTCCGGGATATTTTCACCAAAACACGAACCGTCCTGTTTGTGTCGGTGACCTCGGTTCTGACGTTGCTGAGCTCAGCTCCTGTTTTAGCTCTGAACGGCATGAGACCGGCGTTGGATCCCAGGACCAACTCGACGAGAATCACGCTGTGGATATCCCCCTCACGCCAGCAGGCCACCAACGTTATCTGGGTGTTAAGAGATTGTTTGGTCCCTGCCTTCACCGTCTCCGCCGTAGTCATTTGTGTCGTCACCATGTCTAAATCCTTAAATAAAGCTGTTCAGTTTCGTCGGACATTTTTGACGACTGTCGCGAAAAGTAAACAATTTACAACTTTGGATCTTCATACCTCATCAATAAAACACAAGACAAATTTAGACAGGGATGATGATATAATACATGACGACCTTCCTCAAGCTACAATAAATACAAAAGAAATTCTAATAATTCAACAAATGGTGTTAATCTGCACTGTGTATCTAATATGCAACACGCCTAAAATTCTAATCAACGGTACGGGTCTGTTTCTACCAGAGTTTACGATCGGTAAGAAGTTGGACAAAATTTACCTTTTTTTAAACATCGTGCGAGAAATATTTCAGACAATCAACTCCAGCGTTCCCGTGAGTATTTACTACAGTTATAACACGAAGTTTAGAAATCTGTTTATTCTACACTACCAGCACGGAAACAAGTAGCTGAGAAATGTACGGTCGTAACGAAGACGCCACTGGCTTTAGAAGATCTAACGTCTCGAAATGACTGGATTAACCAGGTCTGTAACGGATCTGGATTTACATTTAGCATACAACATGAAGTCCGTGATACCTTCTTAGGACAAACGAGAGGTCAGATAACAAAAAAGGAAGAGAAGGTTGATGCGGTACATTCTTGGAAAACAAGACATCACTAGACGAGCATTAAGCGTGGAACTCGAACATATAAATTTAGAATTAGGTATCAACCATTCAAAACAACATCACTTATTCATACACTTCGTCTGCTTAAAAGCGCTCCGTGTTTACTTTAATAAACTATTCGCGCATGTGACTTAATTGCTTATGGTAGTCTAATGATCTTCTTCTTCTGCGTTATTAATTGAATTTATGTTGGGGGATTTAAACAAGACCAACTTCATGGATGAACAGGATTGTGGTCTCTAGATCTACGGGCGACCCAAATAATAATGATCTAATACAGCTGTATGCGAAAGGGCAGAACAATTCCTAGTGAAACAAGAAAATCGGAAAAGAAAATGGAGATGGATAGACCATACGTGGATAAACCAGAAGTATTGCCAGCAATGGCATATCATGAAATCCACAAGGATCAGATAAAAGAGGTAGCCCCATAAATACCTGACGCAGAGAAATTGATTGAATTTTATTGGAAAGAGTTGGAAATAAATGGGGAAAAAATAGCTCTGTACAAAAATGCAAAGAATGAAGTTGTAAATTACCAGTGCTCCACTAGGAGCTGAAAGGCAAAAGAAGAAGAAGATACTAATAATAATAAATTAAACAAATTGTCTCGAAGAACACAACACTTCTAGCTGTAACTTTCTTTTAAAATGGTTATCAATCAGCAGTAGTCCTATAGATCTATTCGGCTTTTGTTTTTAATAACTACATAACACCTATACTTACTATCGTGTTTTTTTAAAGGTTATTTTCTTATATTTAACATCTAAATGTATGATGCAAAAACTGGGGTAACTAATGACTTAACCATTATGAAGTCTTGTAACATGATCAAACAATGCATACAAATTATCAAAGAAAATTGTACTCATTCAGATAAAAAAATTAACTGAATCAACAAATTGAAATTGCGTAGTTTCAAATTAAAAGTTTAATAGTTCTTATTTAGGCTATTGACATTTTTTCCTGCCTCTTCCACCAGCAGACATACCAGACAAAATAAATTAAACAATAGTATGATAAATTTAATTAAACCGTAACCATAAGGCCATCCTTCTAAAACGGTTCCCTAACCTTAAAACAATTGATAAACATCACGTACCACATAAACCACACATACACACATCAGGATGTCAACAGAACATGAAGTTAAAACATGGAACATTTTCAAAAAGTTGGCAGTTGTGATACATTTTTGTGTTAACTATTTAACAACAGATTTAGTTATAAATGATCACTTGAGTAAAGTTACTAACATCCTCCACAAGTCCCTTGCTTTAAATTTTGTTTTGAAATATTATTTTTATTTTTAAGTCACTACAAAGTAACAATGTTTCTAAAAAGTAACAATGAATTATAACTTTTAAAGAAATATTTGCTCTATTATTGTATTAAGAAACGAAAAAAAAAATGTCACTTCCTTTCAGGAATCTTATTCTTATCTTGAAAAAAAAAGCTTTAGTCTTGTGTTTTTCCCGTCTGATTATAATAATCAAAGATCAATAAGGATTGTTTAGTAGTGCTTGAATAAAACATACAATTAAAAAATTAAATATTTTAAACTTTCTGTGTTGTGATTGTGAAGAAAAAAAATTATAAAATGTTTCGCTACACTAATTCACTCAATGATGGCATATCATTAACATAAAATGTGAAGTAGCATTGATTATTGTTAAAAATCTATTGTATATTTCTTTCAATTTACGGATGTGCAAAATGTATTAACTGGCCTTATAAAAAAGTTGAAGGATGTATCATATCAATAATAATGAAAAGAGAAACGAATACTTAATTAAAACATTGTGTTATGGTTCAGCTCTTCAATGAACAAAAGAAAACGTGTATGGTTTAGCCTATTCCAAGGAAGAAATGAAAGGCTTCATGTAAGTAGGCCAACTTAACTTATGAAGAGAGAAAATTACAATTAGCATGAATAGCTCTGCACTTTTTGTCTTTTGGAAAGAATAAATAGTTTACATGGTCAAAAATTCAAGAAAAACAAAAATAAGAAAGATTTCCATGCAAATATTTCGGAAATAACATTTTAAAATTTTAAAAAATAAGTTTCAATTATACAATTATTTAAATAGGATATTAAGATAAAAACTCAGTAGTGTTTTAGCATTTTGATTTCTGGGAGTATTAAAAACCAGAAAATTTTAAGAAGAAATCCCTATTATTTTTAGGTGAATTTAATATATGTTATGATAAATTGTTCAAACTCTAAGAAAAATCATGATGTTGACTAATATAAGTTTCTGTCATATTTTACTATCCACTAAATATAGTTTCAGTTAATGCCCATGGATTACACTTAAACTCAGAAATGCACTTGTTCTTGGTGTGTAATAAATGTAATAAAACACATTACACATAAATGAATAGAATTATTTCCTTAACCATAAAAGCTAAATTGTAGTAGTAGTAGGATTAATGAAGCTAAAAAAAATTTTAAGAGGACAATTAACAAAGGTAAAATTTTAAACAATAAAACTAGATCTACGAGAAGTTTTATTTAGAGTTAAGGAAATCTTTTGAGAATTCATCATGCATTTTAAATAAATATCAAAACTTGGAGTTTGAGACTAAATGGAGTCCATATGGATGAGTCCAAAGGGGTGAGTCAAAAGTAAAAAAAAAACTATCATATTTTACCCTGGAATATCAACTCAAAAGTTAGATCATCTTATTATCTTATGTTCCAGGTGTCATCTTGTATATCCTAAATTTAATATTATAATTTTAACACCCTGTCATCGTATATGCCAGAATACAGTATATAGACAACTCAATATTTTTTAGTGAGAGTCTGTGACATGCTCAACATAGATAATCCCTGATTCCAGTTTATAAATGTTGTTTAAAATATTTTTTGTTCCACAAGCATCAACTAACAGTTTCCAATCAAAGGAGATTTGCAGAATAGTTTGCAGTCTCGTGACAAGTCTAATCTAATGCTGGGTAGAAAAAAAATTCTCTTTGAAAATTTCAAATGTCAGTTTACGATAAATGAAACAAATAACATAAGGCAGTTTTTTTTTTTTTTAAAAGATACTTTTTTAAATATCCAACAGATTCGATTTTGATTTTCTACTACGAGTGCTGAAATAGCTGACAATGCCTCTTGAGTCCATGAAGTAGAGTAGATTACAAGTTTTAGGACTTAAATGCAGTGACTAGTATCCTCTTCATAACATGGGCAGTGTTATGTCTTCTATGTAGGAGAGGGGGAAGAATCTAGAAGACATAATGCCCACCTACAATCTCAACTTAGCTATTTAAGTTTATACCCAGCTATGCAGTAATGAGAATATCCCTTTTAGTCTCTTTAGAAGCAGGGCATCCTTAGCTATACCACTAACTCTTGAATGGTCAGAAGCATTCCGCTTACCTCATCCTACTTTTGAAAAAACTGTTTTAGCAACAATAACCTCTGACCATCAATTAGAATGTTAGCTAAATAATATGTCAGGAGTTTCACTCCCGGCTGTTATAATATAATAAAAATGTAACATTTGATTTTGTTCAAATACTACAATTTAAAAAACTCAATACACCACACACTGATAATGGATTAAAATTTCCTTTTGAAATAACAGAATTTGAAGGAAAAAAATTTATGAAATGTTTAACAGAAATCATAACAAAATGTAAGTAGTAAGTTACAGGAAAAAAAAATGTAAATTTGTAATGCCTGATCTACACAAGTCTCATGTGAGGAACACAGTTGACTAAAATGCTATATTTTTAACAAACTTCAACACCTTATTAGTTAATAAATAAAATATACACAGACAAATTGAAGATTAAAACTTATCACTTTTTTTCTTTTTAACAGAGAAACTTACCGGTGATCCCAGCAAAAAAAATTATAATTAGCACACACACAAAAATTATTAAAAACATGGGAAAAAAATTTAAATGTATGTTCTTTTTTTTGTACATTTAGCAATATAGAAATAAAAACAGCACAAAACATGTCAGATATGATGGCCAACCAGGCAAGTGTGTTGATTTTAAAGGAATGCCAGACCAAAAGAATTACTTATGAGCTTCCATAAAATACCCTGATTTTTTTTTTAACACAGAGAAAGTAACCTATGCTGTCATACTTAACGAAATATTCTGATAAAAATTTGTGAGGAAGATATTGAAAATGAAATGGCTAACACTTTTTTTAAAAAGTTAAATGTTGTTCAAGGTTAGGGCAGATAAATTTTTTTTAAAAATCCACAATGGAACTCTCCAAGATAAATAAATGTTCTCAGAGTTTATTAACATAACAATGGCAATGGGCGCTGGTTATTCAGATTCCTCCGAGCTGTAATCTGAGTCTTCATCCTCGGACTCATCCTCCTCATTATCTTTGTCTTTTTCATCCTCATCCTCTGAGATATCCCACTGAGGATGATCCTTGACAACTTTAGCTTCTTGTACCTCCAACTATTGAAAACAACATGGATATCAAATAGGAAACAGAGAAACCACGGACCATAAATGTTTGGACTAAAAGATTTATAATTTTATTTGAAATAAAGTCAACATAAATTTTTTTTTTTCATTTTGGCTTTCTTTTAAAAGTTAAAACAAATTTTAGCTTGGATGATCATGTCTGAATAAAGTGTTGTAGTTTTGTAGCAATTAACTTGTTACTATTGATTTTTCATAGCAAATTCGGATATTAACAATACACCTAACACAAAACTTATAAAAAACTGCTAAGTTAAAAAAAGTTGTTAAAAAATAACACTCATTAAGAATTCTGGGTACAAAAAATGTTTTTTCCTCTACCACTGTGCAGCTGTAATTCTAAGTCACCTAAGAGAGAAAAGGATAGATGGAGACAGTTGCACTCACCTTTATAACATGGGACTGGTCAAAATCAACAAAATAAGAGTCTGATCGAAGGTGGACTGAATACTGGTAGTGCCCAGGCTTTTGAGGTGCGGAGAATTTCAGTTGAATCTTTAAAGGAAAAAATCAAATTTGTATATGTCCTGTATAAATTATTGTAAATACAAATGATACATACTATGTATAATGTAACTGTGCATATAAGACTTCAAAAAATCGTCTTTAAGCAAGAAACTACATTAATAAGGTTAAAATCCCAGATGTCTACATTCTATTACGTATTGAAATTACAAAATAGTTCCTACCTCTTCTTCTTTCTTTAAACTACATACATGGACGGGTGCCGTAATTAATAAGTGACGTTTTCTTTCAGCAACATACACCCACCAAGCTTCTTGCTTCTCCTACGTGATAAAGAAAAAGAATACAGTCTACTTTTAATGGTTGGATACATTTCATTTATACTAGCATAAAAGTGTACTAATCACACATTATGGAGGCACATTGATGGAATACATAATATTAAATACGAGCCGACCCGTGGCGTATCATACGCCGCTATTTAGTTGTTTTTCCTACATTTCAGTAATTCATAATTTGTGAATTCGACAGTACCAATGCTGTCACCGAAAATATTTGCTTTAAAACACTAAACCCCCATTCCCACCCCCCCCAGGAAAAGCAGCCTCCTCTTAGTTACCTCCTCTAAGTTTAAAATAGTTTCAAACTGAATTATCTGCCCCTAATAGCCGTCACCAAACCCGACTCTACGATTGTTTTGTAAACATTTAGGCCTAGCGTGAACTACAACTCACCTGACCATGTGAGGGGGGGGGGGGGGGGGGGGTAGCGATAGAGAGGAAGAGAGGGGACTGCAAGGCGCGAGCTTGCAGCTTGTTTTCTAACGGCTCCCAGAAGAGAATTATATATATAGATAATAATATATATAAGAAAGCGCCCATTTATGACATCACAAAGCATAGGGCAGATGATGTAGAGTTGATCTGTTTCTGTAACCTCAGTACTTTGCCCAGCCGCCTTTACATTCCCCAATGGAATTCAGGTACCAATCAGAACAGGATGAGATATTACAGACTCAAATTTGGGATCCGAATTTAATGCTCTTTGGGTTAGCAGTTGAGCACACTACCGCTCGACATCAGTCCCACAGAAGGTAATATAAATATTTTAAAAATTGCATTTTTGTCATTTCTTTTAAATGATTTTAGTATTTTTCAAATGTAAGCATGCTGTAGGCAATTCAGCAAACATAAATATTCAATTACAGAAAATAATAGAAAAATCTAATGATGAAAATGAAATGACAATTAGCCATACCCCTGGAAAGTAAGGGCAATGCACTAAATGGCTCTCTTTCAGTTTTGTGTCTAGTGAGTTCTCTTTCTTTGATTCCATCTTGTAACTGTCCCAGTCGTCCTCTTCGTCACCGTCGTCTTTTTTAGGTTTTGATTTTTCTTCAGGCTGGCTCTCCTGCTTCTCCTCTTCCTCATCTTCTGTAGCATTGTTCCCATCATCTGATGCTTCCTCTTTGTCCTCTGTACTCTTTTCTTTCTTCTCAGATTTTGGAGGTTTTATTGCTTTGGGTGAATCAGAGGATTCTGAGTTTGTCTTCTGTTTGTAAATTAAAAACAAGAAGAATAAAGAAAATGTAAGTTTAAATAAAATAAGTTATGCCATTTTACGGTGTAGTTACAAAGTCATCTATAATCATAGGCAACTTGTAAATACGTGTTCAGAATTACATTTGCTATGGCGTATTGCATAGACATTCTAATGTCTTCAGGCATACAGATTTAAGCAAAGCTAACTAATTTCACTGCATCAGAAAAGTGGGGTTTAACAGATAAAAATGGTATCCATTTCACTAGATGCTGACAGCAAGATGGTGTGTAATGAGCTGTTACTCTCACTCCTATTTAAGCATAACCAGCTTGAATAATGCTCTTAACCTAAGATGACTGCAAAAGGGCACAGAATCTATTTCCATTAGGCAGGATCTTACCATTTTCCTGGTGGATCAAATAGGAGACTGCTGGATGAACAATCAAAGGTTCTACACTAGACCATGCCATCCCCTTAATACTGTTACTAAAGAATGTCATTATTCTATATGAAAATTTTACCAGCACTACCCTTCTAAACTTAACAATGCTTTTTTTAGTAAGAACTCAGTGGGACAATACTAGTAAGTAGAATAGGTTTAACTGTGCAGATTATGTTATGAGTTTTGTTTCATGATACTTTGCACTATGAACATTTTCATAACAAACTTAGTCCATGAACACCATACAAACCCCTACAGCATATGAACACCATACAAAACCCTACAGTACATGATCACCTTACGAAGCCCTACAGCATATGATCACCATACAAACCCCTCTCATATACCAACACCATACAAACCCCTCTCATAAACCAACATCATGCAAAACCCCTCTCATATACCAACATCATGCAAAACCCCTCTCATATACCAACATCATGCAAAACCCTTCTCATATACCAACATCATACAAACCCCTCTCATATACCAACACCATACAAACCCCTCTCATATACCAACATCATGCAAAACCCCTCTCATATACCAACATCATGCAAAACCCCTCTCATATACTAACATCATACAAACCCCTCTCATATACCAACATCATGCAAAACCCCTCTCATATACCAACATCATACAAACCCATCTCATATACCAACATCATGCAAAACCCCTCTCATATACCAACATCATACAAACCCATCTCATATACCAACATCATGCAAAACCCCTCTCATATACCAACATCATACAAACCCCTCTCATATACTAACATCATACAAACCCCTCTCATATACCAACATCATGCAAAACCCCTCTCATATACCAACATCATACAAACCCATCTCATATACCAACATCATGCAAAACCCCTCTCATATACCAACATCATACAAACCCATCTCATATACCAACATCATGCAAAACCCCTCTCATATACCAACATCATACAAACCCCTCTCATATACCAACATCATACAAACCCATCTCATATACCAACATCATGCAAAACCCCTCTCATATACCAACATCATACAAACCCCTCTCATATACCAACATCATGCAAAACCCCTCTCATATACCAACATCATACAAACCCATCTCATATACCAACATCATGCAAAACCCCTCTCATATACCAACATCATACAAACCCCTCTCATATACCAACATCATACAAACCCATCTCATATACCAACATCATGCAAAACCCCTCTCATATACCAACATCATACAAACCCCTCTCATATACCAACATCATACAAACCCATCTCATATACCAACATCATGCAAAACCCCTCTCATATACCAACATCATACAAACCCCTCTCATATACCAACATCATACAAACCCCTCTCATATACCAACATCATACAAACCCCTCTCATATACCAACATCATACAAACCCATCTCATATACCAACATCATACAAACCCATCTCATATACCAACATCATACAAACCCCTCTCATATACCAACATCATACAAACCCCACTCCTATACAAACCCCACTCCTGTACAAACACCATACAAACCCCCCACAGTGTAACACCACCATGCTGCCATACAAACCCCCTTCCCCCCCCCCCCCCCCCCCCCGCACAGTGTAACATCGCCATACTCACCCCTGGAGCTGCTTTCACTGTCTCTGCCTTGGCTTGTGCAGCAGCCTTCCACTGATACACCTGCTTTGCCTTCTTTGCCTTCACCTTTCCTGCCTTCTTTTTACCTTTCTTGTTTTTATCCCAGCCTTTAGCTTTGCTGTCCACCTGGCCAGCTTGATCTCCCTGTCAAAATCACATCGACATTTACAAACAATTGTATAAAGATTGTCCCATGTTTCAGTTAAATCTTTTCTTCTTCTTCTTCTTTCTTAATTTTTAGTGTTGGAGGGGATCAAGCCTTATCTGCCAGAGGGTTTGAACTCGAAACTTTTTCGAATTTATCAACCATGAGCTTTTGCCGACTCGACCACGTCTCCATCACAATTAAGGATACATGTCAACTGGTTATGCGCCATTGAGGCCATTTACTCCGATTTCAGCCTGCTTTTCTTTTTGGATTTGCTTCCATAGCCTTTGTCCAACCAGGAACAAACTACAAGGCAGCAGTTGTTTGATTTTGGAGTTGTCTCTCCTAGAATAGCGGCTGTCCCCAGCTAACGAGCCTCATCTGCCCGAGGGTTCGAACTCGAGACTTTTCGGTTTAGCAACCATGAGCTTTACCGACTCGACCACGCCGACCCCTTTAAATCTTTTAACTTTAATAATTATTTTTGCTCAAATTTCAGTAATAAAAATCTTTTAACTTTGATGATTATTTTCACTCAAAGTAATAAAAAAAGTAAATAAATGAATACACCACTAGTTATAAAAGTTTAAAAAATTATCGGCTGTTTAAAAAAAAAAGCTTATTTTGCAAATCGAATGTATTTGTTGGCATATATATCAAGTGTTTAGTTAAGTATATGACAATTCAAATGCTTAGACTGAAAAGTTATAATTAGGCAATTCTTCAAGAATGCTACGAGGGTTATTTAAAGCAATTTTATTGATTTTATCACTGTCCTAACTCTTTTTATAGCTACAAACAACCCTAATTGAAATACATGAAAAGAAAACTAAAATAAAATCACTATTTAAATACATTAAATGAAAAGGTTGGATTTCTGTACCTGCTTGTCCTCAACTTCCCTGTCCTCATTCTCCTCATGCTCCTCATTCTCAGCCTCCTCTGTGTTCTCCGTCACCTCCTCTCCAATGGCTGGTATAACTATCTGCTTATCAAACATTTCACCCATGTCCTTGCGCACCAGATACACTGTCACTGTCACAATAGAGCCAGCTGTTATGGCTGAGTCTTCCTCATCAAGCACTACATTGATGAAAGCATCACAGAAACTTTGTTGAATCACGCGTGAATTATTTTAATAATAGTAAAAAAAAATCAAACATGAAAATGAATTAGAAAAAAACAATGACAGATTGAGATTATATGTAAAATAAAATATATAAGATTTAATGTATGATTCAGATCATATACAGGGGATTGTGGAGAAAATGAAAATAAGATCCATCTATTTAGAAACAAATTTCAAGAAAACAAAATTTTAACCTAAGCCAATATTTGATGATTAAACTTTGCTGCTAATGAAAAAAGTAGACCCCGATTCATTTGTGATTGCCTCAACGTTTTTTAATTATTTACTTGCTTGTCAGTTTTAGTTTATCTTTTCTGATAGTCTGTATTATTTAGTGATTTTATTTTCAAATAAGTATCACCACCACAATGCCATAACAACTGTAACAACACATCAGAGTACTTTAAAGATTTACTTTACGATTCACAGTATTGTAACTTATTGAATCAGTGCAAGCCTACCCAAAACAGAAAATTTAATCTAAAACTAGGAGTTACCTTCAGTTTTGACGGTCATTTCAACATACGGCATCTGTGCACACACTGTCATTACATCACAGTACTCATTATCTGTAAGGCTACGAAGCATTGACCGCCTGTCTTCATCATCCATACTCACAAAGTCCCTAATGTGTCTTATATCCCGCTGCATTGTGAAAAAAGTAGTTAATTTTTTTTTCAGAATTCATAAATAGTTCATTAAAGTCTAGATGATAAGCCTACATAAAAGAATTAGTATCACAAAAATTAAATAAGTCATATCTACATAACAGAATTAGTACCAAAAAAATTAAACAAGTCATATCTACATAATAGAGTCCTTGCAAACACGTGACCTAAATCACGTGATACCTACGCCCGCCGCCACAGTGGTGAACACCAGATGTAAACACAATCAGCTGTTCACCAGCGCTGGACGTGTTCACCAGCGCTAGACGTGTTCACCGTATGTAAAGAATCGCGCCCGCGGAAAAGGAAAAATATGTTAAAAAACTTGAACTCTTAGGAATTGAAGATCCTTATACAGTTATTGACAGTTTCGTGGATAATATAAATATGTGGCCGAAATTTCTAAATAAAAATACTGTTAGTAATACCGTTTGCGTTTAGAGTTTAAGTAGACGAATCTGATCAAATGCAGTAATATATTATAGGTTATCTACTGTAGCAAACGTGAGACCACTTAACTTCTACCAAACCCACACTTCAACGACTAATATAATCCATGGGTAATAACCAATCTGGGTAGCATGTTATACAATTTAAGACCTTATAATCCAGCAGGGAAGTGATCAGACACATTAATACTGATGTTCAACCCTCATGGTGGCCAGCCGCCACCTGTATCTAGCCCACAATAAAACCAAAGAGGAGTCTGCCCTGCCCTCCCCTGAAAATGTCTCACCTCCGTGATACCCAGCCCCACAGAGAAAGTATTTCTTCTATAATTTTGACCCTCAGGGCCCAGCAGGGAGAACAAAGGGGAAAGTCCCACTGCTCTCCCCTCAACATTTCTCACCTCGATGTCATGTTATGTCATTTATAGCACACATGGCTTATCAGGGGAAAGCATTAAGGCATTAAGAATCTTAACTCTGGACAGCTACACACTAGTATACTAGCTACACACTAGGTGCCTACTTTAAACTACTAGACTGTAGGCCCTATGTAGACCTGCAATTGTATCAATTGTAGACTGGGTCCATTGTTATTATTCTAAACCATCTCACTTATAACGTTTCTAGCTTGATTTGTTTCTTTTATAAACAGTGGATTAAAAAAATAGCCTAATCATTAACCAAAATAATAATAATAATGTGGTTATTTGTTGTTGGCTGGTATGATCTAGATTGTACTACTAGGCTACAAAAACTTAGTAGACCAATTACTATATATGAATTTGAATTTAATTAAACTCAGTCCAGTATCAGATACATATTGCTGTAAAAAGACAACAAAGTAGGTAGGCCTTAGTAATTTATTAAAGCCTTCTACTACAGTAATATCAACTAGATCTACATGCTTGTATAAAGTTTTTACAATTTAATTTAAGTAGCAGATTCTAGATCTAAGTCTAGTCATACAATCTATTTCAATTTCAGAAAATTTCGTTTGCTAAAAAAATGATTAGATTATAGAGCGAGATTTTAGATCTTAGAGACAATTAAATGCTTTATTAGGCCTATTATGACTACTTTTGATTTATTATGGGTGTATTTTGAATCGAATGTAGATCTAAATTTTGTAATTAAATTTAAGTAAAGAAGTAGATTCTAGATTCTATGTCTACCCAGCGGAGTCAGTCGCCCTAAATCCAGAATCTAGATCTGTGGTCCAAATTTTGTTTACGCCATGTTTAGAGCTAGATTCTAGATCTAGGTATTAAAACACTATTATTATGCCTACTATTAGATCTTATTCTTCTTATTATTACTTTTGACTTTGTCTTTTATTAATAGTTATCTTTTATAATTAAAATGAAGTTTATTATTTTACTGTCCTTACGTGAAACAAAGTATCGAGAACTGCATTTGATCAGATTCGTCTACTTAAACTCTAAACGCAAACAGTATTACTAACAGTATTTTTATTTAGAAATTTTGGCCACATATTTATATTATCTACGAAACTGTCAATAACAGTATAAGGATCTTCAATTCCTAAGAGTTCAAGTTTTTTAACATATTTTTCCTTTTCCGCGGGTGCGGTTCTTTTCACACAGTGAACGCGTCCAGCGCTGGTGAACACGTCCAGCGCTGGTGAACAGCTGATTGTGTTTACATCTGGTGTACACCAATGTGGCGGCGGGCGTAGGTATCACGAACGGACGTGACGTCATATGAAAGGACTCTATAGAACGAGTACCACCAAAAAAAACAGAATTTAACCATAACACTAATGATGAGTCCCTAAACAACATTAACAGTTATGAATCAACACCCAAATCCCAGTGCTAATCTGAAAGTCTGGAGTTTGAATCTGGGTTAGAGACAATAGACAGTCCCTGAGTCCACCCAGCTCTGATTGGTACCTAACTCACATTAGGGAAAGTACTGACCACACTATCCCTTCAAAAGCCAAGGTCACAGGAACAGGTGAACCGTACTTCACTTGCACTATAGACTGTAAGGTTAGCCTCTAGAGCAAGAAAACAATTTTTAAATACCACCATAAACGGTACCTGCACAGTAACTATAGTTACGCCATCTTATCGTACATTACCTTACGGGTTGTGAAATGTCTCAGGAGGTCTGGTGTAATGTGAGGCAGCTGCTGCAAGGGGCTGGATTTCTCATCCAGTGCTTGGACCACCATTTGGCTCATCTTCATTATGTTTTCTATAGACTCAAGACGGGGAGGTTGGATACCTGGCAGAAATCATCAAGCAATAGAGCTCATGGTGGTTGTTTTCATTGACTAAATAGCAGTGGTTTCTTTAAAAACAGGAATGACAAAAAAGAAAAAGTATTCTGAAACAATAGAGTTGATGCTTTTTATGTACTCAAATGTTACTCAATATTATTAAAAAAAGGGAATGGCTAAAGAAACATAAACCCTTTTTTTTCATTTACTCAAAATAATGTTTTTAAAACGAACAACAAAGGAGAAAAAAGTAACACATTTTTTATGGTAATTTTTTTTCATTACCTCAAAATAGCTGTTATTTTGTTTAAAAAGGAATGACAAAAGAAAAAAGGAATTCTAAATGATAAAGGATGTTTAAAAGTTTAATTTCAGACGACATAACAACTAAACTAGATTTAGCATTAATAAAAAAAATTATAAACCTTATTTCTTCATCAGCTACCATACTTTATTCAAAATATTTTGAAATGAGATAATAAAAAATGTACTCCTAAGATATCCAAAAGGACATTACAGTAGTATCGTATCAAGGTATTTTTTTCTGCTAGCTAGGTAAAGTTGACTGTTGTAGTCAGGAAGTATTAGGGTTAAGGAAAAGAAATGGGTGTAGCAACTAGCAAAAAAAAAAACTCAAAATAAACCTATCATCATCTTATAATTACCAAATACACACACTAAAAAAAATGAAACTAAACTCATGTAGAATGTCGGGTACCATGAATCAAATGCATACTTTACCTCGTCCAGAGTTCATAGCAATGGCAACTAAGCTGGCCGATATGTGCACCATGTCATTGATAAGATAGGGACACTTCTTCAGTATATACTTTTGATCTGGATCAGAACAACAAAAGACATTAGATAAACATGATGAAAGATAACTTAAAAAAATAATGTTAGTCATAAAAATATTAAACTAATAAAAAAGATAGGAAAAGGAAAAAAATCTGACCTGCTCCTAATGTATCAGGATTGAGTTCGAGCCTCTGGAAATGGGCGTGTAGCAATGCTCTGGATTTAACACAATATGGTCTCTCTCTAGCTTTCTCTTGTACATTAGGGAGCTGCTTTAATAACTGTAGCAGGAAACAAGTGTTTTTCAACAAGTCAACAACAAAAGCACTTCTAAATCATATTTAGTTGGTATTATGCATATAAGTATTGAAAAGTTGACAGATGAAGACAGTTTAAAATCTAAACTGACAGTTTGAAATTGTTTACTAATTTAATAACTGCAATAATTTTTCACATTTTAAAAAAAACAAAAACATTTTTGCTACTTGTTAGTCCAACAACACTTACCAGTGGCAACTCTTCATTATCTGTAGGCCTTTCAATAATTTCTGCATTATGCATATGATCAAACTCACATGATAATCCAAGAACAAAAATTGCACCTGTTCAATAAAAAAAAATATTTACTCAAAAAAAAGTTGAAATGTGGTACATCAAATTACAGAATGTATTACATAAAATGTTCAACTCTAATATTTTGAACTTAAAATATTACTAGATCCCACAAACAAGTTAGCTATACTAAGTGCAAATGGGGTTGGATTGGACACACCAACTTTTTCAATTTAATTTTGGTCAATATTGCTCAGTGGGACAGGTACAACTTACGTTTAAGAATCATATTAGACATCTTGCTAATGAAATGGTAGTAGATTTTGGTGGTCTCTAGTAGCACTTGATCACCACTGAACTTGATGGAATGGTACCACCACACACCCTGGAATAGGCAAGTAATTATTTATAGATGAACATGCTCTTTGGTAAAGGATACATACAAGAATAAAAGAAAAAAAAAAAAGTTTCTTCTTTAGACCTAGCAATTCATTGGGTAGATGAAGTAAAGTTTGTATTATTCTTGACCACAGCATATGAAGGGATAGTGTGGTCAGCACTATGAGGGCTAACATGGGTTACAGCTAGGCCACGCCGTCCCATACATTAAGAAATTAGACTACTTAATATTTGGTTTTTCTAATTATTCATATTGCATTCTAGTAAAGTGTTCACTCACCACAACAACTGGTAAGATGATCATAAAAACAAGACCATATACTGCTAGGACCTGTTACGAAATTTAAAATGTAATTTAAATGTAGATAAGAACATTTAATAAATACACACAAAAACATTCAGACCTATAAAACAAAATTTTGTAGAATTTAATAATGAAATTGGTAATTTTGGTTAAAACATGTACTTTAGTATTAGCCAGACTACAAGGTTTTTTTATTCTCCAATTTTCCCAAATTTTAATTGATTTAAAAATGTGTATAAGGAATTAGCCAAACAATAAATCTTCAAAAGAGTAGAAAAATCTGAAGAGAACAGAGAATAAAATGTAAGGCATCATACCCTGCCTGAGTCTTCTTCACTTACCCACATGGAATTTTCTCTTTCAACAATCCATTTTGGTAAGGCTATTCCAAACCTTGTGGCTAAAAAAAAGTGAAGGAAACAGTAGTAGGTTAATAGGCAGTAGGTTAGTAGGCAGACCACTAGAAAATTAGGGCATTTTTGTACATTTCTGAAATGGGATGTTTTGGCCAAGAAATCAAAAGTGGTTTCAAGTTAATATCAAAGAAATATTACCACAAAAAAAATAATTAAAATTTACATTTTCAATTTTCCTCATAGAAATATTATATTCTCAAAAGAGAAAAATAGGATTTCCTTAAAAAGGTAAAATTTTAAATGCTCCAAGCTTTAAACAGAGGTAACATAACAGAATTAACCTAAATTGATAAAATAAATTGGGTTCATTATTGTATTTTTAATTTATTTAAATACTAATTCTTGTTTTGTTAGAATTACCTTCTGGCCCATCTGGATTGCCATACTCCTCCCAATTTTTTCTAGATTCCTCATCTGTGAGACTGAATTAAAACATGGTTTGTTTTTTAATAAATTAGGCTTTATTAAATCAAAGTTACCTTAATAATGTATATTTTTTTATAAAAATTAAAATTGATAACTAAAAGAGTGCACTCACGCAGCATAAGCCTTTGCTATTCTCATGAATTTCTTGGGGTCACCAGTTTCTCTGTCAGGGTGATAAACTTTGCTCAACTGTCTGTAGGCTTTTTTTATTTCTGCAGTTGATGCACCCTAAACATAAATGTCTCTAAATATAACAAAAAACTGTCTAAACGGAACAGATAAAATTGGCTGGTGTTTAACACAGTTACAGCCAAAGTACAATGGCTATTGATGTACACTGTGAATAAATATATCTTTAATTGTAAATTTAGTCATGACTAAATAAGAATAGTACTTACTCGATCTATCTGGAGCTCTAAAAAGGGATCATATTCAACATAATCTAACTGTATCATGGACACCTTCCATGCTAGTAGAGCAAAGACAACCCAGCCAATCACTAAAACAACTTTGCTGGAAATGCAAAACAATTGAAACTGTATTTTCTATAATTTACAAATGTGATGTAGGAAAAAAAATCAGAAGTTATTATTTAAAAATTGACAATGAAAAGAAACTTACATTACTGTTGGCTTTACAGTAGCTTTTTCCCTTTCTATGTCTTCTCGCTTTTGTATACATGGGATGCATTGACATTTTCTCTTTTTGTCATCAGTTGCTAAACAGATTTTTAATTCAAAAAAATAAAAATAAATCAACACTAAATTACATTTACAAATGTAGGCTATTAAAAACAATGCCTGCTTTTGCTTTAGATAGCACTAATATTCACAAATTTCAATAAAGTGACTATGGGGTCGGACAGGAGAGTACAGCTGTCACACCAGATGACCTAGGTTTGGATATTAGACACTTGCTTCCCTCTAAGTTAGAGTCTTTTGAATTTCACCACATTTATTTCAGCTATTATTCCATAATATAAAGAGTGACTTTACTTCTTATTTTAATAACAGTTTTCAATTTTACAGGCTAATTGTATTTCATTTATTTTCACTTGCGACATAATGTTTACTACTACTATCGATTATTATTTATAGAGAGGGGGGGGGGGGATGCGCCCTAAATTTTTGCATGCTCTGCTATGGGGGTAAACAACTGAAAATTGTGATGGAAACAAGAATAAATAATTAAAAATATAATAATAAAAAATAGCAACATTCTCAAAATCTACTACCCATAATAAAGTAAGATATTCCCAGTCATATAGGCCCTCTATTGCATAAAATGATAATGATAGTCAAGTGAGAATAGGCATATTAGTATATTACTTAGGCCCCTTACTACTTTAGGGCTATTCCCAGCCAAAGGGGAATAGCCTCTTCCCGTTATTTAAGATAGATTATAGTATAACTTTACTAGATCTATATAAAATCTAATAGTAGTTATATTGAATTATATTTCACATTCACCTAGCCCAAGTACTAACTATTTTTAATTTTCATTACTATAGACTATAGGCCTAAGTAGTAAGTAGATAATATTAGACCCTAACACACTATAGTCTATTATTCTGAACTAAATGCAGTTCAATTTAATCTAGTTCATTCTTCTATTAGTAGATCTAGTAAGATTTCTGTAAAAAATATAAACATCTGGATAAGACTGGTAAAAGTCTCAGTAAAGTTGAGTTAACTTATTACTAGATCTAGTAATTTAGTAAAGTAAAAGATCAACCACAAGTTCAGTTGACTGAATGGGGGCACTGAAGAACTAGATCTAGTTAATTAAGTTTAAGTTAACATTGATAATTAGACTCTATTTCAATAATTTAAAAAAGGTTAAAATGTGTAGATCTTTGGAGAAAAAAAAAAGCGCTGTTTTACTTGATTTTTTTTATTTTAATTATTCCGTGGGTGATTCGGAAATATTTTCATGTTGACACATCATCAACAATTTTATCACATTCGCAACATTTAGAATGTCTACCACGATTTTCAATAGTTACCTGTTTTTTGTTTAGACGGCCACAAAAAGTATGTTGCAGGGATAAGCAGTAAGGCCCAAAATGAAAGCAAGAAATAAAAAAACGTCCCTCCTTCCTCATCATACTCAAATTGCATGCCTGCCATACTGTTGGCGAAGACTGCTGAAAAACACTACTCTACTTAATGGTCATTCAAAGCAACAGAAACAACCCAAAAAAAAAAAACCCCCACCACTTCCCGTTATCGCATTTAGCAACTTTTTTATACGAAAGGTTTCGGCGTAGCGAGGGCGGGTCGGGGGGTTATACCATTTAGGGGGTGACACCAAGGCAAATACTTGCAAAATGTACAGAACAACATTTTTTTTTGCCAGTTCTTTTAATTATTAATTATAGTTAAATAGTCTTTTAAGTACAAATCGACAACTTTTAAAAGAGTGTGTGGTGACACCCTTCCCGATTTAGATTTTCAAGTGCATTAATTTTTCTGTTAAAGTTACGGGTCACTTTAGAAATTAAAATATACAATTTAATAATGCGGGATTGATCTCCCCTAAAATTTCTCGAATTTTCTTATATAACACTACGGGGGATGCCCCACCCCCCGAACAAAATGGAATTAATATAGAAAACACATTCTTTTACCAGTGTCCGCGTCGTCGTCCCCAAATCATATTCTCACACGTCAAATCCTTACTTGCCTCGTCACATTCAACATCTTTTTAATATAACACATTCCACTACACACATACTCTTATACCCATTCAATACGCCAAAATACGATTCACAACACCCCCCCCTCCCCGAAAATATCAAATATCGCCACACAAAAAACATGTATGTGCCCTTTCTTAGCCCATTGCTTACTTACTTCAGGCAAGAAACCAACCAGCCATGACCAACAGTTTATCATCGTCAACTAGATAGGGCAAGCGAAACGTTAATACTTAATCTCGTTATGTTCCTTTTCATTATCGAATTAAGTCGTCTTTTAATTAGATTTTAAAGACTAATCTAATGTCTAATTAGAGTAAGAATTAAATATGCTTGCATTGTCATCAGATACGAATTATTTGCATAGAAATCGCTGCCTTAGAAGTAATTTAAAATCCCACTAACGAGCAAATAAACAGACATTGTGAACAAAATAATAGTTAATAATAAAAAAAAAGAAATGAATTTTTCATAATAAACAAGTAATTAAAAAAGTCTAGTGACAATTTTAGCGCAATTTCCTTGTGTTATCTAAAAATAGCTCTGTCGTAGCGTAAATCAAGAGCAGGGTTAGTAAAACCATTGGTTAGTTGTTAAAACGTTTTTTATTAATTTTTTTTCAGTATTTTACATGTTTTATTTACAATAGAGTAACATGACTAAAAACCATTGCGCGCCCAGCTACCGAACGTGACGTCGCAGCCATTGAACGTGATGGCGCAGCTATTGAACGTGATGACGCGTGTGGTGTGGTTGCATAAAATGCCTACTAATTCGGTCCAAATTTTAATTAATTCAAAAAAATTTTTGTGACCAAACGAAAGGATATTTTTGAAAACTTTCTTCGGCAATATTGTTCTAAATTCTGGCAGGAATCGATTGGTACATGTTTCAAGTCGCTAAGTGGTCTGGTTGCCGAAATATGGGCCAAAAACTGCATTTTTTCGAGGTTTTTTGGATTTTCCGGGAAATCCATGAAAGAAACCCGGAATTTTTATGGCCTATGTTCATCCTCGTAACTTGCTTAACATAATTGCTCTGGGAACTAGTCCTCGATATTGCTTCGTTGAGGAGGAGATACGACGTAAAGCTGCGGACACACATCCATCCATCCATTCATCCATCCATCCATTCCCAGAAAAGACGAGTTAATAAACGCAATTCTCCAGAATGGAAATTGCGCTAAAAAATAATTGAATTTTTTATAGGGGCCTAATAAAAAAATAATTGAATTTTTTATAATAAAAATATTTTTTTTGTTTGGTCTAAGTGCACTAGAATGAAATAAAACGCGTGCTAGATATATATAATGAGACAAATCTAGTCTTATTGATTAAGTTTTTTTGTAGAACAGAAAACATTCGGCTGTAAATATTACTTCTGCTTATCATGTCATTCTATTGCACCAGGCTGCTTTCGGTATTTCTTCCAGACTTTTTTCTCCGGGGGTGCGCTTGAAATTTTCGGGGGGGGGGGGGGGGCGAACATTGTCAAATGTATATATTTTCTATATAAATTCCATTTCGTTCGGGGGGGGGGGGGGGCGAACATTGTCAAATGTATATATTTTCTATATAAATTCCATTTCGTTCGGGGGGGGGGGGCGGTAGACTTTCTTCGCCCCCCCCCCCCCCCGAAGAGATGCCTGGAAGAAACTCGATCTTACTTAGGGAATGCGTTTGTCCCCAGCATGCATATATATATATATATATATATATATATATATATATATATATATATATATATATATATATATATATATATATATATATATATATATATATATATATATATATATATATATGTATGTGTGTGTGTGTGTGTGTGTGTGTGTGAAAACGGAGAAAACGAATGAAAGAAACACTGTGTCACACGCGAATTGATTCACCTTAATAATGCATTTAGAATGTGTTTAAAAATATCCCAGAGACCTCTCAATAAATGAAAAAACAAGTTAATTAAAAAAGTCTAGTGACATTTATGCGCAATTTCCTTATGTTATCTAAAAATAGCTCTGACGTATAATGCTGGGGTGCGTTCAAGCTAGAAGAACGATCGGTTTGTAGGTGTTTATGTAATTTTAAAATTTGTGACCGAACGAGAGGATATTTTTGAAAACTTTCTTTGGCAATATTGTTCTAAATCATGGCAGGAATCGATTGGTACATGTTTCAAGTCGCTAAGTGGTCTGGTTGCCGAAATATGGGCCAAAAACTGAATTTTTTCGAGGTTTTTTGGCTTTTCCGGGAAATACATGAAAGAAACCCGGAATTTTTATGGCCTTGGCTCATTCTCGTAACTTGCTTAACATAATTGCTTTTGGAACTAGTCATCGATATTGCTTCGTTGAGGAGGAGATACGACTTAAAGCCCGGACACACATTCATCCATACATTCATTCATTCATCCATCCATTCCCAGAAATGACGAGTTAATAAACGCAATTCTCCAGAATGGAAATTGCGCTAAAAATTATGCAAAATTGTATTAAAACTGTCAGTAGGTAGATAGATAAAAGAAAAGGTCAGGGAAGGGTGTGGTTTTTAAATTGTCGCTTTTGAGTGCGTCATACATATATGTCCATAAAGAGGTCTTTCCGCTAGTCTTATATGAAAGTATATGCTTAATATTTTGAGAATTATAAAAACAGATTGCAACCAAAGAATGATTAAACAAAACAGTAACTTGACTTTTACTTAGAAATACAAACATTTTACTTTGTACTGAAACAAATATTTATAAACAGATATATTAATTCTTTTTTTTTTGTGGTGTTACCCCCAATTTACTTCGGTGGCGGGTGTATTTCGTTCCGATCAGTACAATGTTTTGACCATCTTCCTCCATTACTCTCTGTCCACTGCAATCTTTGGTGCCTGTCCTAGTCAGTGTAAATTTCAGACATTTTTTTTCCGTGCACTTAAAATTTTTGGGGGAGGGGGGGGGGGGAGAAGGCGGACAGTTGTTGAAGTATATATTTTCTATATAAATTACATACTTAAACAATCAGAAATGATGTTCTTATAGCAACGGACAAAACAACAGCCAGCTGAAGTTGAAATCCTCCAGAGAACATGGAAAAGGATTGGCCACACACTCAGGAAGCCTGTATCCAGCATAACAAGACAGGCCCTCCCCTGGAATCCACAGAGCAGGAGGAGGAGAGGCAGACCTGGAGACGTGACCTGGAAGAAGACACCAAGAATATTGGATACACCTGGGGACAGTTGGAGAGACTAGCCCAGGACAGAGAAGTCTGGAAAGCTCTTGTCAGCGGCCTATGTCCCAGCCAAACCTAACTTAACCTTACATATTTCATTAATAGATTACGCCTAAGAGGACGGAGTTGTCGTTTTTGACGCACATGTTATGCTTATTGTTTTTTTTTTAAAGTTAAGTCTGCCCTGTATGCTAATAATAATTTCCTAACTAGGATGGTTGGAAATTCTGTTTAAAATGTTAAGACATCAATTAAACTAATGCCAACAGTTTTTCTCCTCTGCCTTATACCATCGTCTATATTTTTTGCACCTAAGTATGTCAATTTTAGTGTTTTAAATAGATAATCTTTGTTCTGAATCAGAGGTTGGAAACTACCAAATAGTTTATTGGGGTCATCCATAAATGATGTCACGGTTTTTTTTGGACGATTTTTATCTACCCCTCTCCCCTCCGTCACACGTCGTCACAAAAAGTAAAAAAAAAAAAATGCTGTTGAACTTTGCTTAAAACATCGATATTTTTCCAAAATCTTGTCATAACTCAGTCAACCTAGAGTATTGTGATCAATTCATATTATAGTTTTCAGCCTCGCCCTTAATCCGCCTATGTGTCCAGAGACGTAGTAACCCATTCAGGAGTCCGAGGCAAACTATCAAATTTACGCCCCATTCCCTCCCTATGTTATATAGTTAACCAACACCACCCCACCCCTTCAGTTGGATAGGCCGGTTAGTGGCACTTTTTACCAGTCACTATCCAGAAATGTTTTTTATTGTGGCGTAACACAAGTGATTTAGAAAACACTAAAATCACTTGGTAAAGCCATGTAATCATTTACTTTCTTTACTTTTACTTTGCATAATGCAATGCCCTAGCTTAAAATTAGCTTTTTATTTTTTTTTCTTCCTCTTTTGACGCCCCCTTAAAGTCGGCGTTCGGGTGAGCGTAAGGGTCGGAGCCCCACCCGCGCTCCCTTAGCTACGCCACTGCCTGCGTCCAACCCGCCCCTCGTACAAAAAAAAAAGACTTAAATAATAAATTGAAATAGAAAATATTATATAGGCTATTTTAACCACTATCCTCCACTCATAAATTTCTAGTGCCCATCTGAAAAAAACTCAGGGAGAAGGAAATAGACATTTTTAAATTACAATTTTTGGAACCCCTGGAAATGGATCTAGTGATTTCCGAGTTGTTGCGCCTCTCGATTTTCATTTGCAACTCTGCTGGGCTGACCGTTAACATTTTCAGTTTCATCCCTTTAGCTGAAGTGTTGTTATCGACCAGACCAGCTGAACAAATTTATGGTTAAATAAATGTCACTACTACGAATCAATTTAATAATTTTGTTAGGCCTATCGTTATCGTCATCCACCCCATGCGGATAAATAGTTGTAAAAGGTTAGGTCTATTTATAGATCTATTCTACATGTAGACCATAACTTGGGTAGATTAAAAACTTCAAAATACTGCAGTCAAACAAAAGACCTCATACGAACTATTTTAAAATATTATTCTAAATAATAGGCCAAGATTTGCAATATTTTATTTTAAAAAGAACAACCAAGGCTATGGGCCCCAATTAAAAAAAAAAAAACAACAGTTACTTCTAATTATTTCGTAGGATTTCGTATAAATCGGTTGTTTGAGCCTGACCGTGAATTTTATTTTGTGAACCCCAATATATCACGTGGTCTCTTCTGTATTTCATCCGTCACGGAAAAAGACGCGTTTTTGTTTTAAAGAAGAGAATTTGGCCCTTTTTATCTAAAAGAAAGTAGCTTAATTTGAAATTCAAGGTATGAGTAGACTAACATTAAAGCTCATTAATTTCCCTCTAAAAGCGAAGACTAGTTTTATCTTCAGTGTAGTTCATAGATGTTGAAATACTTGACGCGAAAATTGCACGCTCGTCCAGAGAACTGAACGCCATTTTGTTTAGCCGGCAAACGATTTTTGTCGTCCTATTTTCCTGTTAATATTAAAAATCCCCCTTATTAACCATATCCTGGTGTCTTTATTGCAACTTTTACTGATTACTTGTTAAAAGATTAACCAATGACGTAGTCCAATGCCGTTGTAACATAACATGCAAGGTCTAAAGATCTAAAATCTGTCCTGATTTCCAGCTGCGTAGGAAAGAACAAAGAAACACGGAATAATAAACAAGATGTCAATGAAGGTTCTAAGAATAGATGTAGAATCAATCTAGATCTTACAGAAAAACATGCACTCTCAAATTATAGGCCTATGGCTAAACAAATCTGTGAATGACCAGTTATTGGAACTGGTTTTGCTTCATGCCTTTTTTATGCTAACAGTTCTGGTTCTAGATTCTAGACTCTAGATCTGCAAGTTATTATTAGATTAAGCCTTTAAGCCTAATCAAAGATGACAGTTAAAAACAAATAGATCTAGATTCTAGATCTATTTGTTCTAAAATATTCAAGAAAATAGGGATATTTGACCAATGAATATGATTCTTATTAAACGTTAAATGAAATGGCAATCCTAGGACTATACACAAGATCTCTACATTTGCCAGGAAAGGCTATTCAGCAAAATAGTATTTTTAGTATCTAGAATAGATCTACTAGCAACAAGAGACTAGCCCAGGACAGACGCCTGGAAAGCTCTTGTCAGCGGCCTTTGTCCCAGTCCCAGGAGGGACGACAGCAAACCTAACAACTAGTAACTAGTCTACCAAGTCCTTGAATTCCAGACCTCATCTATCTGCTTCAAGTTAATACGCTTTGGTCGGGGGGGGGGGTGCTGTAATTTAACCTAAAGTCCCACCCAAAGTCTAAAAGGGCCATCTTCTCTCATCATAGTGGGCTGCTTTGGATAAAACTCTCCTCCCCCCTCCCCATATTCAGTAACTTGTATTGTGATGAATTTAGATACTGATGTCTGATAATACTCTTCCATAAAATAGGTGTGTTGGGTTATTAGTGTCATCTTGACTAATTTTATGGTTAGAAATAATGGTTAGGTGTATGGTAGGGTTGGGGTTAGGGACAGGGTTAGCATTGACATTAGCCAGCCATGTGTGTATTTAGTTAACTACCTACCAGTAACCTAACATCCCTTTTTTAAAGAAGATTCTATTATCAGACACTGGTATAAAAATACTCCCAAGTTCTTTTCTGTAAGCTAGTCCTTTGCATGAAGCAAAAGTTAAAAGGCCATTTGGTCCATGGTCATGTTTTCTTCATCTCTTACTTAATTACTACATCAATACTAGAATTGTAAATGAGTGATGTATTAGGCCCACTGTTTCCAAAAAAAACAACCTTAACATAGTTTAATAGTAAGCTATACAATTTGCTTCTTAACAATAAGGGAATTTGATGTTAAATTCAATGGGCTTTTCCCCTCTCTCTCCTTCCCCTACCAGTCCTCATCTACTTTTTCAGATTCCTTCCCCCATAGCATGACATATATGATAAATGGCCCTTATTTACTAAGAAATGGAAAATAGAACAAACATATTTTACTTATTTTATATTGATAAATGGTTGCCTCCTGAAGGATGAAACATGTATTGCTTGTCAACAGTAAACTGGTACCATTTCTTACTTTAATCTCCTGTTAAAAACTAGACAAGTTTCTGAAATATAGGCCTATATATATATATATATGCATGTACATTCAACAGATGAGTCAAAACGGAGATGATGTTGATATGAAAGAAGAATCACTAACACCAGAAGAAGAGTCAGAAGCACAGACCCTTTTAGAACATGGAATCAGCAAAACAGTTGCCAAAGAACTTTTAACAATTTATAAAACTGGTAAGTAAATTATTCGGTCCGAAAAATATTGTATAATTATAGGCCTTAGTGTTTTTCATTTAAGTTGTTTTGATGTTTCTTCTGAAAAATATTGTATAATTATAGGCTAAAGGGTTTTCATTTAAATTGTTGCGGTGTGTAAGTAGGTCACAACTTCTCATACTTGCCAGCTAGTAGACTTAGAGACCGTAGACTTACATGCCCTATAGCAACCAACCATCAGCACATTTGAAAACATTCCTTATAAATGTCAGGCTGTCATGATCCACAATTTTTCAGTTTTGTTTGCAGGGTTTTTAAAGGACATGCTGTTACCTTTTTTAATTGTCTAACTTAATAGATTGATTGTTATATTAAAATGCAACATAATAAGTCTTTTGATAAAATTCTAATAGGTAAACTTTCACAGTCTGATCTTGATGATAGGGCAATGGATGCTCTAAAAGAATTTTCCCCAGAAGATGCAATCAAGGTTTTAAGACAGTTTTGTGAAAGCAATCTTGAGCATGTGGGGAATAAAAGTGCTTTTCTGTGTGGCCAGATGAAGACCTACAGGCATAAACTAAGAGCAGGCAACATGCCACCACTTGTTAAAGGTCCTGATGAAGCCAAATTAAAGGTGTGATTGACAGAAAAATAAGCTCAATTTTAACTAATTAAATGATAGGATGTATAAAAATTGTTGTATTATATGTTTACTTATCAATACAATTTTTCAATAAGGAAATCTTGGATCGCACTGGCTACTCATTAGATGTTACAACAGGACAGAGAAAATATGGAGGCCCACCACCAGGTGGAGATCCAACACCACCTGGAACTGGACATGAGGTTATTTACAATTAATTGGTTGCAAAATAAATTGTAGTAACACATTCCTTTCATTTTCAAGAATAATAAATATTTTAGCAGGTAACACCTGGAAGTTAATGGATTAAATGAGAATTCACAATGCTATTTCTAAATTTTTAGTTTTTTTACATAAAAGATGTTTTAATATGTGTAGAGATTTTAAAATTTGTGCATGTTAAAAAATATTTTAATTGTATGCACCATGTCCTTTATATTATACAGATAATTTTCATAATAACATGCTGATATAAAATTAGAAAAAGACTGTCATTTATACTCAACAGTAATCATCTATTGAATTTCAATTTCAACTTTTTAACAGATTTTCTGTGGAAAGATTCCTAAAGATGTCTTTGAAGATGAATTGATTCCACTGTTTGAAAAATGCGGAAAGATTTGGGACATGCGTTTGATGATGGATCCCATGACAGGTCTGAACAGGGGCTATGGCTTCATAACATTTTGTGAAAAAGAGGCAGCAGCTGAGGCTGTAAATCAGGTAACATTGTTAGGCCACTGACTTAATTTTAAATATGTTCATATACACTGCAAATAGAGATATATTAGTCATTTGAATTCAATCTATTATAAAACATGTTTAAGATGCATGTTTATAAAAACATTGTTTTGATGTATTGCTTTATTTCCGACAATTTTTTAGCAGAATTGTAAACTTATATGCAGTGTCAGTTTATTTTGATTTAATATTTTAGGCAAAGAAATTTTACCACAAACTTTCACAGTGGTGCCTCATGTATTGCAACCAACTCCCATAACTCAAGTCTTTTAAAAACTCAGTGCATGCTGGCTAAAAATAAATGGGGTGGTGGTTGTATTTATTTAGCTCATCCAAAACTAGTAATGAACATCCATTGATTGGCAACACAGGCACTAATTTTTAATTTTACTTGGCCGTACTGTTGAAACAATTTTATAAATTTTTTTCAGCTGCACAATTATGAAATTAGATCTGGAAAGCAATTGAAAGTAAATATTTCTATTGCTAATGTAAGATTATTTGTTGGAAACATACCTAAAAACAAGTCTAGGGAAGAGATTAAAGAAGAATTTGGAAAAAGAACAGGTACTATTGTTTTCAATAATAACAAGACATTTTAGATTATGCCACATTTCCAATTGGCCAAGCAGTTAAAGCTAATAACTCTTTGGAAAAAAAAATATTTAACCGGTCATGATCATTAAAGGTTTTTAGGAGGTACCACTGAAAACTAAAAATTATCGTTAACAGATTTATGACATGAAGTTTATCAGAAGTTGCAAAGGTTAACATCCCAATTTAAAAATGGAAAAAGAATAATTTTATAGTTTTAACTTAAACATCAGTTATTTTCATTTAGCAATCAGTGATTATAGTGTAGTATTAAACATTGTAAAGTTTTTCTTTTACCTGTTTAAGATTTTTTTTTTTACTCTTTTAATAAGTATTTTGTGTAGTAGATTGAACTCTTAACCTTTATTGCAATTTAGCCTATTATTTATGAAATTGTAAAACTTAGGACTACAAAGTTCCTTTAGTATTGTAATTGAAGCTTAACGTAATCTTTGATTGATATTAATCTTTTATTTCTTAACTGTCTCATTGTCTTAATTACATTTCTAATATATTTTGCAATAAATTATATTTATTTCCCAAAAATGTATTTGTAAACACTAACTGATAAGCACAAATTAATACTAACATTAGAACAAAAACATCTTTTAGTACTTTTTGTTTTATTTTAAATAACTATATAGATGGACTTGTAGATGTCATTGTCTATGGCTCTGCTGACAATCCTAAACAGAAGAACAGGGGTTTTGCATTTTTGGAATATGAAACTCACAAACAGGCATCAAATGCTAAAAGAAAACTGCAGGCTGGGCATCCAAAGTTTTGGCAGTGTGATGTCATAGTTGATTGGGCTGATCCCATGGAAGAACCAGATGATGAAACTATGTCCAAGGTTAATTTTCCTTATTTTAACAGCTGCTAATTAAAACTACTTTATACTTTATTTTACAAAATTGTTAAACTAAAATTTTTACTCAATTTTAATCTAGGTTAAGGTTTTGTATGTAAGAAACCTAACATCTGATGTTAGTGAAGAAACTTTGAAGGAAAAGTTTGGTGAATTTGGAAAAGTTGAAAGGGTTAAGAAAATAAAAGACTATGGATTTGTTCATTATGAAGAAAGAGATGATGCCCTTAAAGCGATGGATGCATTAAATGGAGAAAAAATTGGCAATCTTGAAGTGGACATATCTTTGGCTAAACCTCCATCTGAAAACAAGAAAAAGGAACAGCGCAAACGAGATCAAGAGCGTAGGATGATGAGGGCTCACTATTTTGGATTTGATGATTACTGGGGGCCACCAGTAAGAGGTCATCCATCTCCTAGTAGGGCTGGATTAAGAAGACCACCATATCCAGGTATGATTAACAGAAATTTTAAAATTCACTTGCTATTAACACCTGTTCCAAAAACCTGCCCAGATGTTAGAAATATTTCCATTGAATAGATTGTTAGTGTTGCAAATTTTTTTTACTGATCACCCAAACAAATCTAATCAAAATTCTGATTTATAAATCTCTATCTGATCCATAAAACAAAGTAATATAGCTGAAAATACCAAAGCTCAAAATATGTCACTAGAATAAAATAATCAAAACACCTGTTGTTGCTGTTTAAAATTTCACACTCCTGCATTATCTACATACATCATTGGCTAAATTTGTCAAGTAACAGAAGACATGACATTATAAAAGTAACTATTTTTATAGTTTTTATAATACAAATATAATTTTTATTGCCTTTTAAAAACAATATTTTACATTGTTTAAATTATTAGATTTTTATTAGATAGTTAAAAATGTTACACGTATTGTAAATATGCAGATATATAATATAACAAATTAAACACTGATTCTAAAGAGAAATAACCACCAAGAAAATTTCTATTTCTTGTATACATAGGCTACTTTTAAATAAAGTATAGCAAATATATTTATGCAAACATGGAATGACTATATCAAGAAGACTTGTTTTTCTGCATGGTTGAGTTGGTTGTGCGGAATAATATAAATAATAAATGGCACCATGTTAAAGATTACAGGTTTACAGCTAAAGTAATATTAGAAAGCAACATTGTTTTAAAATTGGTGATTGTCAGTTTCTTAAATTAATTGGCCTACTTTACTTAGTGGATAGTGGTAGTTTAATAATGGAGTGGTTGGCGAATAAGTGGTGGAATAGGGTTGAGGGTGGACTTAGTTCAGCTAAAGATATTAAAATAGATCAAATAGTGATCAGCAGTACTTTTAAAGCATGGGTACTCAGTCTGGATGAGATATTAGTTCATTTTGTCATTCCATGTTCTTTTCATGAAATTGTATCCTTAGTAACTGGTCAAGGCTACTGAAAATCAAATATTATTTTGTCTGAAACCAATAGGCTTTGCAGCTAGTAGTTAATAGAAAGGTATAACAAATATATGCTTTTTGTATGAAAATAAAAACATGGGACACATTAGTAATACATTTGCATCAGTAGCATATGGGTTTCCAGTGATGTCTAATGACATGTATTTCTTCTAGTGATAAAAATTAATTTTTTTATTGAATTTTTCAGAGCCTTATTATGAAGATTATTATGGATATGAAGACTTTGATTACTATGGCTATCCTCCTGTTCCCCCAATGAGAGGAGCTCGTGGTCGTGGAGGGATACCCCCTGTAAGTACTTATATTAGAAAAGACCAAGCAAGACTCATCATGCAGATGTGACTTCAATATTTTGGGACAAAGATTTGATAAATTAACCTTCAGCACTGAAGTCACAATAGTATGCTAAACCTACTTCTGAACCAGTTTATGGACATTAAGTGAAATAGCTTTTTAGTAGGTAGTATGTTAAGAAAAATTACCTTAGTAGTAATTTAAAACATAGATTACCATGTAAGCAACATAGATTTGTGTTCAACCTTGATTATAAATTATGGTTCATTAGTAGAAGAGTCTTGCTTGGATTTCATAGGGGCATACTGTATTTTTACAGTATGCTCCTATTTGAGGGGATAGAAACACTGCAAATGTGTTGAAAATATCTATTAAGCCAATTTAAAATCAAAATTGTACACCAAAAATAGTCTTTTAAAAATTTGAATTGTAGAAAAGTCAGTCGTGTTTTGGCAAAATAAATCTATTGAATACCCCTTTACAAACTATTAGTAAGAAATGTTCAAAGTATCAAACACATTTCCAGGTGAATCTTGTTCCCCCTCACCAATAATTTGCCACTTTTACATGCTAATAATTAGGGCAAAAAATGTCTCAAAACTATCTTTTTCCGTTTCATGGTAGCAGCCTATCAGAGGTCGTGGTGGGGGCCCTCGTGGCCACGCAACAGGAGGTCAGGCAACCCGAGGGGCGGCCGCTAAAGGCCGTGCAACTGGACCTGCCCGGGGGGCCTCGCGCGGGGGACGTGGGGCTAGCAACGGAAACAGCCCGTCGGCAGGGTCATCACCAGTCGCGGCCAGGGGAGGAAAACGGAAAGCAGGCACAGACTTCCAGACAGGAAGCTCGAAGCGACGGAATACAGAAAGTTGGGGCAGTCAGCCTATAGCGCAGCAGCCTCTTAAACAAGATATGAAGCAGGACATGTATGGGGCCATGAGCTATGATGGAAATGATGATGCATGGTATGAAGATTCATATGGGCAGAATTGGGGTTGACAGCTTAGTCTTAAAGTAATATAAAAACTTGTGATAAAACTTAAATCTGCCCAATACTGTATAAATAAAATTGTAACCAAAAGATGGCTTAATATTGGGCTGAAATTGCAGCCTGGTAATTTATGACCCATGTGAAGTAAGTGGTCAAGTGAAACTAAGGGGGGTCAATGGCTTATGTCTTTGGCCCAGTTTACTAAAAACAAAAGGCTTCGAAATTTTTTGCTGGGCAACAGTAGTTGTTAAATATTTGTATATTTCATCTTCTCCTGGCCTACGTCTTGTACATATTTTTTTGATCTTATAAAGCATATCCCCCCAAAGAATTTTCTTTTTCGGCAAAGTCTGAATTAAAAATTTATTCGGTCTCCTATATATAATATCTCATCATAACCTCAGGCTTAATAAGCACCAGGCATGAATGGATGTTGCCTTGACTCCGCACCGTGTGGTTTCAGGCACAAGGGTTCCGTTCTACGGCAGCTTATGCAACAAAACAGGACCAATATTTGGATCCTGCAGTGCATGCCGCAACATTTTGCATACAATAAATAGACCTTTGCAGTAAATAACATGACATGCATCAGTTGTTACTAGATGCTCTGTTATTTAGGCTAAAAGTCTCCATTTGCACACATTGTATAGGGATAGGGAGCGTACATTCAAGACTCGTTTTAATAAAATAAATTTGAGTTTTGTGAACATTCTAAAGAATCTTTAATCCAGAATGCCGAAAAAATAGTTTTAAAAATGTATCAGTATTTTACTATTTTATCGTTTGGTGTTGCGTAATGAAATTTTGTGTAAATTGTCATGTAGTGAAATGACAAAGTTCATTTTAAAATTTGCTTTCAAATTAATGGCAAACAATATATGGTTAGTGGAATTAAAGACGAAAATGAAGTATCAACATACAGAAAATTGTTTTTATCTGGACCCTTCAGATGCCGTAAAATGAAATGGCAGTTTAGCATTCCACTAACCGACTTTTCATACATTATATTCATTTCATCGAAACTATTCATCATCACCATTGTCATGTGTTCATGCAAATAAAATTGCATTTTATGTAAAAAAGATGAGTTTCTTATCTCTTGAAAGTTAGATACATTAAAACTAACCTTTCAAAGAACTTGTGATTCAGTTAGCTTGGATCCATGCAACATAATGTGTGGTCTATTGAATTACTATTTATCTCACCAATATACCTCATACTTATGTACCCTAATACAATTATTAATTAAGATAAAATATTTTGTGACCAAAAATTGCATGAGATTTTATAAGGCAACAACTACTTTAATATCTAGTAATTTAAAAATTTGTTATTAAGTTTCTTCCCTAATGTTCACCTCACAAAAATCCAAATAACTTGCATTATTGATGAGGGAAATTTTTATTAGGTTGGAGCATCAATAACATTCTATTTATTAGGAACTGATCAAAATGTCAGGTTACATGTTTGGCCATAAGAAAAAGCTTTTAAAAAAAATACCCTCCCACCTTTATTTAATCAAAATAGCAATAGTCCGAAATCTGCTTAATCTGTTTAAATTGTGTGAAATTTTTTTGTGGTTGATAGGTTTAACTTTGTAGTTATATAGCTTAGCACATTTATGTTAAACATAGCAAGTGTAAAAGGGACCATATACAAACTATTGAAACAACAGGTTTTTATTGTTAAAAAAATATATTTTAACAACACAATTTAAAAAAAAACACGCAAAAATAATATACTTATGTATTATTCCAACACCTTTATGAAATAAATCAAGTTGATATTTTATAAAATTAACCACCTTTATCACATTACCTTTACACACAGGTAATAACAATGCCACTACAAGGGTATTCAACCTAGCTAAGTTTCTCTTTCCTTACTTGAGGACACTGGGGGCGAAAAAGCATTAAAATTACACTAAATGCAGCTGCTAGTATACTTATGTAGGATGCACCATCTATGCTGAACTCTTGGGCTAATCCAGCAATGAATGGGGCAATCATCCTTGCAATAGACATCACGCTCTGGCTCAGGCCCATTATAGAACCAACAGCAGAATCCCCACAGCGAGATATTGTGAGCGTTGTGCTACTCACTCTTGATATGCATGTAACTAAACTCAAGGGCATTAAGAAAATCAACAACAAGTGAAGTGAGGATGACCACGTCAAACACATTAGGGTAATGACTTGCAACACTGTAACATGAAGAAAAAGCTTAGCGTTGCTTTTGTACCTGAAGCAAGAACAAAATAGATTAATTTGATTTCTTTTGTAAATAAATTGTGAGACTTAACTATCAATTTAAAAAAATTAATTTTTTTCTAAATGATCTCTGCTAGCATTATTATTAACATTGGCGTGTACATGGGTCAGTATAAATTACATTCTAGATATTTTTAAAATACAGTAGGTAATTAAAAAAAAGTTTTGTTTTGAGATGTAAAGAATGGTTCAAGTTCAAGGTTATTGGAGGATTGAATAGAAATAGAAACAATATATAACTAGTGTACCTCTACCACAGAAGAAATAAAACAAACCTACTTTTGTGTGACTTTTCCGAGGATAAACCCAGACAAGGTGGCTACCACACCAGAATATGATGTAAGATATCCTAGGGTTTTAGGACTGGCATCAAACTTTAGTTTTAGCACCATAGTGAAGTTAGTACGAAATATTATCACAGAAAATCCTGGGAAAATGTTAAACATATTGGTAAACAATTAAAGAAAAAACAACGATAATTGGCTAAACACAAATAAAGGATTTAGAAAAAAGGATTCACAGTAGTAAATATTTAAAAATGAAAAGATGCATAAACATGGCCTGGCTGTCGGTTGCACAGTTATGGAGAGCATCAGAAAATGATGAGAAAATCTACTATGGTGCAGCAACGACCCCAGCGGTTAAGGAACAATTAAATCATTTATTTTGCATAAATATGGGACAGCTTGGCCTTAGAAGAGATAGAACACTAGACTGCTAACCCGAAAGTTGAATCCGGGTCAAAGTCAGTAGAAAGTCATTGAGTTCACCCAACTATAATGGGTACTATCTCAGGTGGAGGAAAGTAAAGGTGGCTGGGCAAAGTGCTGACCACACCCTCCCTTTGTATGCTGAGGTAAAGAAATATGAACTTTACTTCATCTGCCCATTGGAACACTATGTCTACTAAAGAGGATTCTTTACTTTATAAATATCTTATAGTAGGCTACCATAATCCTACACTGAATATAATTTGATAAATTCACTGCTGCAACACCAATTAATTAATATCATTTAGCTTTAATTTTAATATCAGACAAAAGTAATGGCGTTACAAGTAAAAAAATAAATGGAAAATTATCTCTTAAGAAAATGGTTTTAAGTTTATAATTTTGGTCACCACAAAATGCAAAAAAATACTAACCAGCTAAAAATTTAATAAGAAACAAATCCCACAGCTCTATCCAATCAAATTCTCTGAATGATTTCACCATCTTGCTAAAGCTGAAGTCTATTTCATCCGAACCCAGCTTTTTTAATGAAGTTGAACTGTCTTCTTTTATCATTTTAGAACTGGAATGATGATGGCTTGCAGAGAAATTTGTTGGTATTGCCCACCACACCAATACTGAAAAGCAATCATTATATAAGTCATAAAAAAAAAAGGAAACTTCCAAAACATTTCTTTGCTAAACAAAACCGAATTAATAAAAAATCAAATCTTTTAAAACTTTTAGAGCAAATTGCAAAGTTGACTAAGTGTTTACAGTTTAGTTACTACATTGTCATTTTGTAGGATCTCAACACTTAAAACTATTTCTGTCTTCTCATCAACTATTTTTCTGTAATTTTGTCTCAAAGTGGCTTTTAAAATAATACAATTTCAGCCACACCATTAGTTTCCATCCCATTAGCAAAAACAGGAAAAATTATCAACGCCAGCTACTATCAGCATATGTCATGCACATTTAAACAGCCTAACACCCAGCCAATCCTATTAATAATACTTATCCTTAAACCAACATAAAATTAAAAAGTGGATTTACCAGCATTGCAAACAAAAATAGCTCCTGCAACAAATGCAACTAAGGTAAATCCACCTCTGGTCTCAGCTAAATGGCCTCCAATGATTGGCCCAAGTATAAAACCTATGCTGGAAAAAGAATTAAATGATCCTAGTGCCCCAGTAAGAGATTCCTTGGGTAGAACATCAGCCAGGAAAGCTTTTGTGATGGTCTGGCTGTGTTTGAAACATCCTGGGGATAAAACAACAAAAGGAACTCAATGGCACAGCGCTTTATGAAAATATATTGCAAATTAATGCATGCAATCAAAATAATTTTCTGAAAATATATTGCAAATCAAAATAGTTGAAAGTACTAGCTGCTCAGTAATTGGTAATAATGAGTCAATATTTAAAAAATTCACTTAAAAATGTCCCCTTAGCACTTAAGTGAGAGATTCTCAGATAAATAAAAAAAAAGGTAAAAGATTAAAAAGTAATATGACTTTTTAATTAAAGTTAGAAGTATTGTATCCTTCTAGACCATAGGTCTAAAGGGTAGTTGAAGCAGAGCTCATTTGTTTCTTTAACCTCAGCATATGAAAGGATTGTGTGGTCAGCACCAAGCATGGCCTCCTTTACTTTCAACCAGCATACATCAGGTACCCATGATCGCCCAATGAACTCTCAAGATTTTCTACCTGTCAGTCTCACCTTTAAACAATCTAAAAGTAAAATAAAATGTACTTTCATCTGTTTTACAAAAGAAAATGAATGTTTACTTCTTTGTGGAGTCTTAAGTACCTGTTGTACATGTTCACGCTCTGATCCTTTGTTTCTGGGTTCAACTCAGATCTTTTCGTATTATCTTATATAAAAATAAGATTATATCCAGGGTTCAGAACATTTAGAGCCTAAATTAGCAAGTACCTCATTGTACCTAAAACAAGGCGACCAACAAACAGTACTGCAAGTGATGAGTATATTCCAAGGCTGGCATACCCCAGGCCTGACATGAGCAAACATACAACCAGACTGAACTGGCGACTCACTGTATCACTCCACTTGCCCTGGCAAAAAATAAAACCGTTATTATTGATGTAACATTAACATAAATTAAAATAGTTAACATTTCTTAATTTTACTTTAAATTACGCAGGACAGCATGGTCAGGTGGTAGAGCGCTCAACTGCTAGTCTGAAATTCTAGGGTTTGGATCTCTGTCAGAAACTGAGTCTGCATGGCGTTAACTTTATTGAATGTATACATATTTATTTTAGGCTTGAGTCTGTAAGATGTCCTTGAGTCCATCCAGCTCTGATGGGTATGGGACTTAGGGTAAGTATAAGCAGCTGGGCATAGTGCTCACCACACCATCCCTTCATATGCTGAAGTCAAGAAACATGAACTGTACTTCATCTGCCTTATGGATCATAAGTTTGAAAGGGCAACTTTACTATTAATTTTTTTATTGATGAGACAAACAAAAATGATAAACTTTTCTTCATGTTATTGTTAGTTTACACAAGCTCTCTTTTGGTGTCATAAGGTGTCTTGGTAATTTATTTTCTTCATTCTTAATTCTAGTGTTAGGGAGGGCTTTCCTCCAACACAATTAAGTATTACTTATCAACTTGTTATGCACCATATAGGCTATGATTTCTGCCTGATTTTCTTTTTGGATTTGCATCCAAAGCCTTTGTCCAACCAAGAACAAACTACAAGGCAGCAGTTGTTTAATTTCAGAGTTATCTCTCCAGAAGAGTTACTGTCCCTGCTGTCAGCCTCATCTGCCTGAGGTCTTGGTGATAAATATAGACATAGATCTATTTTTTAGTTTTAATTTTAATTTCAAACCTTACTTATTGTTAAAACTCAGGACCTGAATAAAAATCAAGAAATACCAGATGTAAAAAAACTCATGAAAACAATAATGAATAAACCATCTTTTTCAGTTAATGCTACTATTGTTACAGCATCAACAAGAATGCCATACTAACAAAAGTCATTCTTATTCAGTTTATCAATATCATTCCAACCAGAATGTATTCTGTTCTGTTTCTCTTCATTATCATGCTAATGGTGTATCTATTACACTATCAGTTAATGGTAGGCCGTTCACAAGGGAAAGTGATTTACCATCTGTTGCCAAGTTTATTGATTGTCTGCTCTATTCAGCAACTTTGCTTTACTACACTAAAAGCTAGCTAGGCGTGGATCTATTTCAACAACAAGGATATGCAAACAAAAAAATTAATAAAAATAGTAAAATAAACCGGGAGTGATCTCCCCTAAACTTTCTCGAATATTCTAATATAACACTACGTGGGATGTCAACTCGGAATATAGACATGATTTTTGTTTACTTAAACTTTTAAAAATAGAATAAAATCTAGTAGAAAAAAAAATGCGCACCAAGCTAGCACCGAAACCAAATGTGCGTAATAGTGCGCAATATTATTAGTACTTTTAAAATTTACATTAGTTTTTTGAGAAATCGGAAGTAGCGTAAATTACTACTTCCGGTCAACGGAAATTACTCAAAATTTAACAGAAGGTAGAGAATTAGATCTTTTACTTACATGTGAAATTTCATTTATCTATCTTAAATAGTACTAATAGTACTCAAGTTATAGGCTTTTGAAAAATTCAAAGTAGAAAAAGTACCACTTCCGGTTGTCGGAAATCGCTCAAAAGTTGATACGGATCTACGATTTTGATATAATACTTATATATGAAATTTCATCAACCTAGCTGTAACGGTACTCAAGTTATCGTGTTTACACACGGACACACACACAGACACACAGACACACACACACACAGACATACGGACAAGATTGCAAAATTATGTTTTTCCGTATCAGTGAGGTGTAAAACGTCGAGATTTGTAAAAATCTCGATTTTTTTTTTTGCACGATTACAATACTTTCTCTATACTACGTATATACGAGAAAGTAAAAAACAAAGCAAATAAAAAACTTCCACTTGTACAAACACAAAAAAAAGATATAGGCTTATAATATGCCCTACAATTAGCATACTGGAAAATTGAGGTCATAGTCAACAAAGATGAAAAATGTAAAAAAAAAAACAACCTTCACAGTGTTGAATTATTTAAAAAATTACATTTTAAATTATTTAGTACAGAGTAACATAAATTTGACCAAGCAGTGTTTCTTTCAGGCATCTCTCCAGGAGAGAAGTGACAAGTGCTCCCCCCCCCCCCCTTCCCCCAAGAGAAAATGGTCTGAAAGAAACCCTGCCTCAGGGATTTTAATTTAATAGGATTATATTAAAAAATTACAAATAGTAGAGTAGAAGACATAAAGAAAAAATGTGTTGTTACATTACTTACAATAATGGGGCTACTAAACAATTGCAAACCACCATAAACAGACCCTGATAAAAAGGATAACAAGAAATGAAGCTATTATATTTAAAAATAAAATACCATCATATCAATACTAGACCTAAATTTGACAAATTTTAGCACCAGACATTAATAAAAATGTAATTACTAATTACCATTTCAATAATGGATAATGATTTTTTACATTATAGGCCTATATTATTGTTGTATTGAATGTGAATCATATTTACTAATTTAGACATTGATATAGAGATATAGCTCATTTTCCATTACCTATAGCTCCAGCTAAAGTTGGTGAGGCCCCAAGTTCTCGAGCCTGAGGTAATACCAATGGCATTATCATGCTCACACCTAAAAAATCCTGTATGAGAAAAAATAAATAAATTGAATCATTTGAATCTACTTTGCTAAAGTTAGTATGTCCCTTGTTTGAGACTAGATATGCTGATGATATAGATCTAGATCTAGATAGAAAGTTTTGGGGTTGAAGTATAGATTTATATTTTAAATATATTCGGTATATTAATTCTTTTTCATTGGGGGGGGGGGGGTAGATGTGAATAGTACTCCCCCCCCCCCCCCCCCCCACACAAGAGATGCCTGAAAGAAACGCTAATAATAATTAAAAATTGTTGCTTCCAGTCATTTTTCTAAAAAGGGCGGGGTGTATAAATAATCATAATAAATAATGTGTATGTATATAGTATATTAATATTTGGTAATCTATCGTTTTGGGTACGTAAAATCGCCCGCGGCTATTAATGTACGAAAACGTTACCTCATTGTCAAGGCTTTAATAGAAGTATATTGTGATATATTTGTGTCAAATATTATAGATAAATGAATAATAAACCTAAATCAATGGCTAAATATATCAATATATGCCAGAAATTAACTTTAAACAGCAGTGTTTGCGAGCAAGATTTGCTATATAAACAGCAGCCATTTGTAAAATAGAGTGACTTCCGCCTGTCTCGCGCTATATCCGCTATAAAAAAAACTTAAATAAGATGGCTGCTATAGTAAATGAGCATGGTTGCATCTGTTGGAAACATCGCTAGTCTTCATTTATTACTGAAAAGTTTTAATTCAATTGTTTAAAAACAGGTACATAAATGAAAGAAGGAAACATTTTTGTATTTTTCAAAACATAAATCCTCCTCAAAATGTGAAATAATTATTAAAATTTAAGGAGTCACCTGTTTTTCACATTACTAGTCGCGGGCGATTTTACGTACCCAAAACGATAGATTACCTAATATTTATATATTAGTATAAAGTATTAATTATTATTAGGCCTAATTTAATTTAATTTATACTTTACCACGAAACCACTTAAATACAGAATGTGTGACATTTTTGTAATACATATTGACGACGGATCTGATTCCGTATTTTTATTTTTAGGCCTAGATCTACTCATTACTAGTCTACTAGATTTAGAAACTAGACTGTCTGCTAGAACACAAGACCATCTCATAAACAATCGAAAGTAGAACCTGATACGTCACCGGAACCGCCAGATCAAGCTCTATCTATAAATAGTTCAAATGAACAACTCTAGAAATGCCGAGTTGTCTTTTAGTACTTTAGTTAGTTTTAGCTAAAAAGACAAAAAGCCAAAAATTCACCGGATTTCATTTTTAAAATTGATTTTTATAAGTTACAACCAGAGTTTCTTCCAGGCATCTCCCCCCCCCCCCCCCGAATGAGATGGATTTCATATAGTAAACATCAGAGCCGGCGTTAGGAATACGCGGGGCCTAGGGCCAACCATCCGCGCGGGGCCTTTCCATTATATATATATATATATATATATATATATATATATATATATATATATATATATATATATATATATATATATATATATATATATATATATATGTTCATAGTTTTTTTTTCCTTTGCTAAGATATTAAATCACTTTTAACAGTTATGTAATTCATACCAAATCACTTAAGAAAATTTAATCACGTGCCGAATAATTAGGAAAATAAAGTTTACAATACAGCGAACTCGGCCTGATGTATCAAAACAGTATAGACTTCAAAATTTGTTTAGAATTCATACAATATTTTAAAACCAAAATCATTATTGTCTTAATTATTGAACGGGTGAATCCTTAAGGTGACACAACATAACAACAGTTTTAACTTTCTTCCAAAAATTAATAAAACACTCTGTTTAATGCCGCCTGTTATTGATCCTAAGCAGCCCCCCCCCCCCTCCTCCCACCCCTCTGCACGCAACTGAATGTTAATTTTGTTACACCAAGACAAGTAGGCCTACATATAGAGTTTCTTCCAGGCATCTCTTCGGGGGGGGGGGGGGGGGGCAACGCAAACGAAATGAAATTTATATAATTTATAGAGAAAATATATACTTTTAAGTGTCCGCCCCCCCCCCCCCCCCCCCCGAAAATTTCAAGTGCCCTGCCCCCCGGAGAAAAAAGTCTGGAAGAAGCACTGTACATATACGACATTATACGACATCTACAACAAGAAAGTCAGGACTAGAGTTCATCAGGTCACTGTCTACTACAGACATCCCATATGTCTGTTCACTAAAAGGACGTCTTCATGGGTCCGCATACAATAGGGTATCTCTTTACGTCGTGGGCTAATTCTCGACCGCCATCTCCAGTCAGCTCAGGTCAAATGTCAGGCGACCGTACCCTACACAAAGAGTAGGTGTGACACTATTTTTGTATCGAATTACGGCCTGTCCCAGTTCAGGTGGGACTCACCAACATCAACCGTGGCCTCAGTTATAACAATCAACAACGTCGGCATTCGACCATTTAGTTTTTCCCAATTGAATTCAGCAACAATTTTTTTAAGTTTACGAACTAATTCAGATAACAATTACAGTGCTAAAGCGCGGGGCCCCTTCAAGCGCGGGGCCTATGGCGACCGCCCCGTTCGCCACCCCCTAACGCCGGCTCTGGTAAACATACACTTTTATTAGTGTCCCCCCCCCCCCCCCCCCCGGAGAAAAAAGTCTGGAAGAAACACAAGAAACACTGGTTACAACAGTTGATAATTTATGACGTTGCTAACGAAGTTAAAATATTGAGGAGTCGTGTAGACATTCTAGTAGAAGTTTCAAGTAGGCCTAGTGCCCAAAGTTAGTAGTAAAAGATATAATAAAGATCTAGAATCTAATATTGATTTGTAAAGCAGTAGTCATTCGTGATAGGTTTGCTACCATGTTGAGAAATGCGATTGAGTAAACTTTAAACACCAGGAACGAGTTAGATTATATTTAAAACTGTACAAAACGACTTGAAAAAAACATCTATGGTTAAAAAGTGATTAGAAGGTTCAGTCGTGTTGTAAATTAAAAAGGAATCGAAATTTAAGCTTATGAAGTTACGAGTGAATACACATTCTAGCAAACGGGAAAAAGAATGGCAGTAAAAAAACATTTAAAGTTATTTTTAGGGCTAGTGTGACGGCTAGGATTATTGCAGTGCTATTTGCTCAAGTTGTAATTTGGGATTTGTTACTGACGATGCTACATCAGAGTCATTGACTAACAATTCAGTTTCTGCGCGATATAGCAATATAAGGGAAAGCATCAAGAATGTTGAAGAAAATTCAATTAAAAATATGTAATGCTGTCCCTTTGACTGCCAATTTCTGTACTGATGATGTACAGGCTATAAACTTGATCGTCACGTGAAAGCATTTTAACCGATCATATGATAGCAAACATAAAAACATTCATGTGTTAAGTCAAAAAAATAAACAGTAACTAATATAATTCACATACAGACATATATGATGATCATTACATGAATAAGAATACCAGTGGAGATTGAACTGTGCTTTTCTTTATCACAGGCTCGAGTTTTTCCAAAAAATAAAAATATGTAGATAGAACAAGGTAATACTGATGGGACGAATTAATAAAAGGAGAACACAGTGGTACCTCAACATACGAGTGCCTCGACAAGCGAGATAACACGGGGGGGGAGGGGGAGGGGGGGGAGACAAATCTCCTTATTAAAAAAACACACAAAAACAACTGGGGACTGGGGTGACATTTTAGGAGCGGATTAATGGTCTTTAAGTTAATCTCAATGGAGAGAATTGCTTTGAGATACAAGCTATTTGGCTTACGAGAAATGTTACGTAGCGAATTACACTCGTATAAATAGATACCATTGATGAACAGTAGGAGTATGATTTCCCTTCTAGAACAAACTATTAATAAGTAAGAGGAAGTAGAGTTGATGTGTCTTGACCACGGTATATGCAGGGATGATGCAATAACACTATGCCCAGCAACATTTACTTTCCTTAACGCGTGCCGGGTACCTTTCAGAGCTGGGTGGACTCAGGGACATTCTGCATCTCGAGGCGGGACCGAGATCCGAACTCGATACCTTCGGGGTAACATTCGAGCTAAGACGTTGACAGATCTATCACCCGACCACGCCGGCACCGTGGGAGTAGAGTAGACCTATTCGAAGCTGGTTAGCTAATATTACTACCCTATCCCTATCATTACCGTATCTTTAGCATAAGGAATGGCTCTAATCCGGATCGTATCCCCAAACTTAATCCTGAATCGAATAGCGATGTCGACAGAAATATGATGCAGCGTACTTTAACGAAAAAAAAATGATGGAAAAATGTTAATTTCCCTTATATATATATATATATATATATATATATATATATATATATATATATATATATATATATATATATATATATATATATATATATATATATATATATATATATATATATATATATATATATATATATTGTGAGTGTGATATAGATGGGAGTGTGAGTAAGTGGGGGAGGTTGAAAGGGGAGAGATCAGAGGTCCGGATTTTTTTGACGACGCATGACGATATGGGGAAAGGTGGGGGGTGGGGGAGAAGGGGAGGTTGTAAGGGGAGAGGTCTGGGTTTTGTGACTATGTATGACGATATGGGGAAAGGTATTAGTTGGAGGGGGGGGGGGAGAGGAGGTTGTAAGGGGAGAGGTGTGAATTTTTTAGATGGGGTGAGAGGCTTATAGGCTGACGTCTTTTTTTTTTTGGGGGGGGGGGGAGGAGGGGGTCTGTCTTTTGTGACGATGTGTGACGGAAGTGGAGGCATGAGGTAAAAATACTGTCGAAAAAGCGTGGCTTTATATGGATGAGCCCCCACCCCCCCACCCCCCCCCCCCCCCCCCCACCCCCAACTGTATTTTACTTTTACGATCTTGAAACAAATAAGACGTATACCAACTAGGCCACAATGAAGCAATTCGTATATTTTTTTACCCTCGTGATTTTCTTACAGGAGTTGATGTAAATAGTTGATACCATCATAAATGTTAACACGGTTCTAAAATTTCAAACGTAATCCGATCCACCTTTTTAACACTACTGCAGACTCAACGTCATGTGTTTTTATACTGCTATCTTTTTTCCCCCTTCTTCTAAACAGCTGCATTACAGTGCAACGCGTAAAAACAAGAGTTCAGGGCCCTTATGTGTAACAACCTCCGCACAAGGAGTGCTAAGCCTTCTAACACAGGTCACTACCAACAACAGCAAATAAAGCCGGCAAGCATACGCTGTTCGCGAAGGGTCGATAACCATATCACACTATCTTTCCAGCAGTTTCATTGGCTTACAGAATGATATGTAACTATTAAAAATAGGACACCCGGAACTCACAATCAGTAAATAAATAAAATTGTTCCGATATGTTTTTTTTTTTGCATTTTTTTTTCTTCAGCCGCGGGCAAAACAATGGCGCAAGCATCATGCAAAGGGGCAATGAACTCTAGGGGTGGAGTAGAGGGAAGGGCACAAGCTTGTGATCTAGGGGGTCGTCGTGTTTCGTTTAACTTGGTTTCTAGGCTAAAGTTCGCAGAATTTTCCTCTCATCAATTGGTGCTAACATGGAAATGTTATTTTTAGGGGGCGGCTGTAGTAGATTCTAGTAGTTTCCTGACTTGACACGCTTTATTTTTCCCCCACGTAAAATAATTTAAAAAAAAAAAGCATTACTCATCATTTAAAAGTATGTTGCCAGCCAAGGACAATCGATATACTTTAGTGAATGGCAATAGTGTTGGTGTTGGGAGAATGATTATAATTAGGGACAGGGCAATATATTATTTAGAACAATACGGTATGTGGGGGGGGGGCTTGTTGGGGTGTTGTTATGATGGTGCCATGGTGGCTTACATAATTGTAAAGTGCTATTGATTTTCTTGCTTCTATTTTTATTTTTGCCGAGTTCCGCTATTTAGGTGGATGAACAGAATAAGCTAACACCACCACGTAGCTTACGTCTGTTTTTAAAACTCACCACATGCTAAGAATGTACAGCTGTTCCTAATGGCCGTTTAATGAGCGATTTTTGCCTTAATGCGGCGTCTCCCATAATTGATATAATTAGTACCACATTGTGTGGTGTGGGGGGGGGGGGGGGCGTAGGTGATGTGGGTGT